AGGGTGGGGTAGCAAGTTCCAAAAGTGAGGGGCCACAGTGGAGAAGGCCCTTTCCCTCGTTCCCACAAATCGATCCTGTGATAGAGGAAGGGGTGAAAGAAGGGCCTTTCCAGAGTATCGAAGAGATCATGCAGGTTTGTGGTAGGGGATGCGGTCACAAAGGTAGGTGGGTCCCAAACCCTTCAGGGCTTTATTGGTGATGACCTGCACCTTGAATTGAGACTGGAAGATGAATAGCAGCCAATGGACCTCCTTAAACAGGGGGATTGACCACTCTTCTGCTGGTCCCCAATTCCTCTCCCTCTCCGCTCCTCCTCCTTCTTTGTCTTGGTGTTTGCTGTCGAAGTGTCAAAGACAATACTATAGCATCTCAAGCTATTAAATACTCTTTTTCTTTTTTGGACTTATATATACATGTGTGTGTATGTACCTTCAAGGCAGCTCTTGACTTATGGTGATGTCATGAACTGCATCTTAATTTGGTGACATTTTGCCATGATTAGCATGTACGTTCAAGCATATGTGGAATGTTTGGTGCAACCATAGGGCACATGGATGGAGTCTAGGTCGCACAGCATCTTGGGAAATGGGTTCCTCATCTCCATGCACACACCTTAAGGCTGCACTAAACATTTCCACCCATGCTTGAATACGCATGCTAATCATGCCTGTGTTCATTCTGGAATTGATTTTTTTCCTAACATGAAGGTGGGTTTCAGGCTTTCCCCACTTTATCCATAAATCATTTTTTGGCTTGGATATGAAAGCCTATGTTTTGAGATTATTCTGATTTTCCCCACACCACCACCTTTTGGGGAGTGTATAAGATGCCAGTCACAGCAGTGTGTTGAAATCCTTTGTGCTATGTTTTGTAAGTTGATATGGCAACACAATAACAAGCAGGAGGCTTTCTGTTAAGAGGTAGAGTTTGGATACCCTGAGAGTTACTACATGCTTGACCCAGAGGGCAAATGAGCACTTGGCCTTATATTAGGAAATATAAAATCATAATTTTATAGTGCTAGAAAATATCTATTAGCTCATCCAGTCTCTTTCTTTGCCAAGTGAGAATTGTTTCCTTTGGTACAGGTCTGGTTCATTTGAGAATTCCCAAATGAATAACTTAGAACAATTTCCCTAGTGCTTAATATTAAACAGATTGATGCCTCATACTTTTAGGAAGCCCTCTGATGCACACATAAAACCAATGGCTGGCAGCCTTTCCCAACCAGGTGCCCTCCAGCTGTGTTGCACTAATGATCCCACCCTCTGAAGCCCATATAACCATCGATGATGATTCCCTGCAGATCAGGGAAAACTGTTGTAATGCTGATCATAATATTGTTATGCTCCCCCACCAGTAGCAGATGGTATGGAATAGACACAGAGAATAAGCCCATGGTAAGCTCAGAATAAGTTTTGTTAGTCCACCAAAAACATCAGTTTTCTGTGGTGGAAGGACAGCATGCTCCCGTGAGGCAAGAGGCTATCCTGCTAGTAGGATCCTCCATGTCAGACAAGGTTGAGGAGGGTTGAGGAGCAATACCAAATGTGCCACACAGCTACTGGGCAGCAGCAGTGGTGTGGGGTGACACTTATGGAGGATCTCTCAGAAACAATTGCAGTGGGACCAAAGTTAATACTTGTTACTACTGCATAGAAGGAAGCACATGAAATTCCTTTACTACAAAAACCTTATGATGAGACAATCCAAAACAGTAGAGCCAGAAAATGATACTCCCAGGTTGGATGGCATGGATTGTGCTACTGGAATACAGCAGAAAATAACACAAATAGCAACCAGAATCAATGGTGCTAAGAATTCAAAAACAAATAGTGTTACCTTATATAGAACAAGAAATGCTAGACATCTAAACTGGGTTCAGGAAAGGAAGAGGCACCAGGAATTATGTTGTAAATGAATAAGACAAAGTTTGGAAAATCTTGAAATATTTCCGTGTCTCCATTGTCTGCTTAAACGTTATGTAAGTCTTATGTGATCTGCAAATCAAACCTGAACTTTCCCTAAACTGAGATAACTAAACTGAGACTCTTGTCATTTGTCCATATCATGGGAAGACATGATTCACTAGAAAAGATAATAATGCTTGGTAAGTGGCTAGTCTGTACGCTGCTCTGAGTCCCCTTCCAGGTGAAAAGAGCAGAGTATAAATATTAGGCTTGGGCGGTTTCGTTCGTTAATTTCGTAATTCATTATTAATTCGTATTTAAATTAGCTTACGATCCGATATTGAGCCATGCAGGACTACTGTAAGGAGTAATTAAAAATCGAAACAATTTTTCCAATTTATTTCGTATTGTTTCGTAATTGTTTCGTAATTGTTTCGTAATTATTTCCGTATGTCTGGTGCAAGTTTTATAGTTGTTGTTTGTTTTATCAGTGATAAAAAATAAATTATCATACCAACAGTCAACAACAGAGGGAGAGGGAAGCTTCAGAAGTCCCCCCTGTCCCATTTGGAGGGTTTTTTAGCATATTGCGCAATCGCGTCCGCCATTAACGAATCAATTCGAAATTTACAAAATTTCGTAAATTTTGAATTTTTTTAAAGAAAAAATTCGGAATTCTTTAAAAAAACAAAACGCAATGGACCCCCTAAAAACGAAACAAGTTTAGAAACAATTTTTTCCATTGTTACCCAAGCCTAATAAATTAGGAAATAAATAAATATGGTAAATAGCAATAAAAAAAGGGATGATGCATTCCAGATGGATAGACTCCATCAAGGGAGTCACAGCCCTGAATCTGCAAGACCTAAGAAGGTCAGTTGATGATAGGGTGACTTGCAGACTGTTTGGTTTGCCACTCTGGGAGATGGCAACATAACTCTGCATCTCTCTCTCTTCTCTCTGATTGGTAATAAACTTTAAGAATGATAAATTGGGACAGGATTAGAAGTAATTAGTAAAGAGAAGAGGCATGATACCAAGACATCATATATTATCATGGAGGGAGGAGGCTAATATGGAGTATGAAAGTGATTTCATGGATGGGGAAAGAGAGAAGGATAAGAAATACACAAAAGCTGAAGACTAAAAAAACTGTTAGTCAGTTGGGGAGAAAACATTTCTGTTATATCCAAGGTCGCAATACCAATATTTGGTAAAGTCAGTCCAGTCTATTTCATAAATATAACCTACATTAAATCGGGGAAAATACTGCAATAATTTTTTTAAAAATATGAATGGCCTAGGCTCACCATTCAAAAGATACAGTTGTGGAATTCTGTTGAGAACATAAGATGTATTTTTGAAAGAAATTCATTTTAAAAAAAGGGACTTTAAAAATTGCCACAATATCACTTGAAACACAGTTTAATTTAAAACAGAATGTGCAGTCTAGTATATTATTTTCAAATTTTTGTAAAGTAGAAGATATTTTTTATAAAGTAGAAGATATGAAGGGAGATTCATATTTGTAAAGGGGAAACTAATGGAGAGAACAGCCACATTCAGATCGTACTACTCAAGAAATGAATATCAAGCAATCTTCAAATGCTAAAGAAAATAGAGGAATTTGCAGAGAAATGTATAATTTTTGCAAAGGACACAAACTATATACTAGATAATAAATTAGACAGGCCAGCCAGGAAAAAGAAAAAAAGAGAATCTGGGTCATAAAATACTTTCTATCTTACAAGAATAGAAATTAGTTGATGCTTGGAGAAAATTATATCCTAAAGAAAGAAATTCTACATTTCTTTTAGGGAGGCATTCTAGCTACTCTGGAATAGATAATATTTTAATAACAGAGCCAGAATTTTAAAAAAGTCTTTGGTGCCTGTCTTATGCTTTGGCCAATCATTTATAACCACAAGATGGGGTTCAGGTAATGCAGCCTAGAAGCTAAATGAAACACTGCTCTTGAATAAAGAGGTGGTGGAGAAAATGAAAGAACATTTGAAAAAAAGTTGCTTGCAATAATAGACCATTGTGTAACCCAGAACCTCTATGGCAGAGGTTCTCAACCTGTGGGTCCCCAGGTGTTTTGGCCTACAGCTCCCAGAAATCCCATCCAGTTTACCTGCTGTTAGGATTTCTGGGAGTTGAAGGCCCAAACATCTGGGGACCCACAAGCTGAGAACCACTGCTCTATGGGATACAACATGCTACAATAACACAAAAAAACAGGTTAGTGCTAACAACAGTTAAATCCATGTAGATGTAACCAGTGGTAATTGATGGCTTTCATGGTGAACCAACTGAAAGTCAAAGGAATTATATATTGTGCTGAACCTGTGAGGGGCAGAACTTAGTATTTCAAAATACTAATTTAAAATTTGATCCAAAACCTGGAGCAGATTCACTACCTCCGCTGACATGGAAGCTATCTGATGCTACTGGATACAACACTTAATCCAGAGTCTGGGGAAGTTACTTTAGGAAACTACATTTACCAGAATGTCTGAACCAGCTTGTTTTTATAACAACAGATTAAAATCTTAGTGTGAAAAGTCTCCTAGGGGTTGACCTAAAGCAGTGGTTGCCAACCCCAGAATGAAAATATGGTCCATGGCCTCACAATTACTACACTATTACGTCAAAACCACATAACAATGAGAGTGATTGGTCTCATGAAACCCTCTTATAATGCTGATGCAATGGAGATGTTGGGAGTGGAGAGGCTGACTACCCATTAAAGATTATTACTACCACATTAGCTTTAGATGATTAAATATAGATTTCTGTGGGCAAGCAGATGGTTACTACTGGATGGCATAAGTTCTGTATCAGAAACTAGAGCTAATATGGTTTATCCAACGCAATTTTCTGAATCAGCACCCCAAATAACCAAACCGAATCTAAAGTTAATCAAAAACTGATTTGTACCCATTTTGATACTAACGTTGGAGTGTGGTCCCTGGTCAAAGTCGTCCTTGTTCAAATGGTCCCTGGTCAAAGTGGTCCCTGGTCAAAATGTTGGGAACTACTGTTCTAAAGCTACTGGTCTCATTTCTAATTGTATTTTGTTTTTCTAGTCAGGTTTGATAAGGACGCAGGAAGCTGATTACTTACTGAAACCACTACCTTCAAATCTTGCACTTAAACATAACTACTCTGCACCTCATGGTCGCCACTCTCACGTACTGTATAAGAGATCTACTGAGCCTCTGGCACTCAATAATGAGGTAACTGTGAATGACGAGAGACAAAGGGAAATGGATGCTCACCATAATGTTTTCCAAGAAACTCAACAACAGCATCGCAATTCCGAGCGGCAGCACAAACAGCACTTTTGTGGGAGGCGCAAGAAATGTATGTAAGGACATAGTTCACCATAATCACAATTAATTACACTCTCTGTGTAGCTATTGTTAGAACTTGTACTTTATCAGGGAGCATGGAGATGATGTTAAGCTTAATTCCTTGGATCAATCAATCTGGTAATTACGTGCAGCCCGCAGGCATGTAGCCGGGGGGGGGGGGGCATGCCCCCCCCCCCGAAATTCTCATGGTGGTTCGCGAAAAGGCCTTACTGGTGCATTATTTAATCTGTTATGTTTATTCATATCATGATCTGATCACCATACTCAATATATCCCATATGCATGGGGGTATTGGGGTAATGATACAAAAGGTTTGCTAGGCTAGACCCTCTTTCACTCAGCCTCAGCCCCCCCCCGAAACTCAGCCCCCCCGAAACCCCCCCTGACCCCCCCCCCCCGAAACGAAATCCTGGCTACGGGCCTGCGTGCAGGACATAACTTCAAATGTGTGCCCTAAACAAATTGCATGTGAGCTGGCCCATCTTTTGCACAAAGATGGAGAAATCTTTTGTTTCTAAAATTAGAACCTCAAAAACACTTGTTTTCTCTAACTATCATTTCGCTGAACATTTCATGATGTCCTGTATTTTCCTTTCCACTTTTGTTGAGCTCTTCAGAAAGTTAAACTTGTTTACAAACACATGCCGACGCTTGTTAATGTCTACCTAAATTTCTTTGGCACAACTCAACCAAAGTTAAACATTGTGAAATTCTACTGTTTTAAACAGGAAAGCTGGAAACACATACTAATATGCCAACTGAAGACTGTAAGCCTTCAGTACTAAATAATGATGGATTGTGGCAAAGATATTTAAGTTTTGTTTATTTAAATTTATGCATAAAGTAAGTACTTACATTTTTCCTGTTTAAACAATAGGGTATGAAAAATTTTGTTTTTGACTACATTTTCCCCTTTGTTCCCATATAGGCTTGGGCAGTTTCGTTTGTTAATTTCGTAATTCGTTATTAATTCGTATTTAAATTAGCTTACGATCCAATATTGAGCCATGCAGGAATAGTGTGAGGAGTAAATTAGATTCGAAACAATTTTTTCAATTTATTTCGTAATTGTTTCGTAATTGTTTCGTAATTATTTTCGCATGTCTGGTGCAAGTTTTATAGTTGTTGTCAGTTTTATCACACCAACAGTCAACAACAGAGGGAGAGGGAAGCTTCAGAAGTTCCCCCTGTCCCATTTGGAGGTTTTTTTAGCATATTGCATAATCGCGTCCGCCATTAACGAATCGATTCGTAATTTTACGAAATTTCAGAAATTTCGAAATTTTTAAAAGGAAAATTTCGGAATTATTAAAAAAAACGAAACGCAAGGGCCCCCTAAAAACAAAACGAGTTTAGAACCAAATTTTTCCATGGTTACCCAAGCCTATTCCCATAACTTTCATATCTTTATTGTGACAACTTTCAATAGTCTCTTTTACTTTTTTATAGTCATATAATTTGGAAAATATTTAGACGCTTTTTTGCAGATTCCTATAATGTCTCACATAGGTGAAATGTTGATTTGTTTTTATCTCTTTTTTATGCATGCAATTTGATTGTAACTTGGACATCTCTTATTTTTGGTTCTTGTAGATATGCCCCAGCCTCCAGCTGGAGACACCTATATCTTACCAGATGAATATACATATCTGCTGCGAAACAAGCGATCTCTTCTGAAAGCCTACAAGACCAAAGAGCTTAATGTTGAGACCTTGGTGGTGGTGGACAAAAAAATGATGCAAAACCATGGTCATGACAACATTACTACTTATGTCTTAACTATACTCAATATGGTATGATAGTTCTTCTTAAGACTAGTTGGGTAGTAAAAATGTCTACAAAGATCAAATTACAACACAAAAGACCACTAGAAATACAGCTTTTAATTTCTTTCCTTCATGATTTCTGTGCTTTCTCTTCACAGTGTAGACAGATGTCAAGCCAAATGAAATGGTTCACTTGAACTCATCGGTTACTACATACATAGGGGAATGAGGTATTCCATACCCAAATACAACATAGAAGGAAATCTATATAAATAAAAATGTAATGTTAGTTCGTGCTACCATTAGAACTCAAAAACCACTGGGGGAATTGACACCAAATTTGGACACAAGATATCTAACAGTCCAATTTATGTCCTTCCACTCAAAAAAAATTGATTTTGTCATTTGGGAATTGTCGTTGCTGGGATTTATAGTTTACCTACAATCAAAGAGCATTCTGAACTCCACCAATGATGGAATTGGGCCAAACTTAGCACACAGGGCTCCCATGACCAACAGAAAAAACTGGAAAGATTTGGTGGACATTGACCTTGAGTTTGGGAATTATAGTTCACCCACATCCAGAGAGCACTGTGGACTCAAACAATGATGGATCTGGACCAAACTTGGCAAGAATATTCCATATGCCCAAATATGAACACAGATGGAGTTTAAGGGAAATAGACCTTGACATTTGGGAGTTGTAGTTGCTGGGATTTATAGTTCACCTACAATCAAAGAGCATTCTGAACTCCACCAATGATGGAATTCAACCAAACATGGCATACAGGACTTCCATGACCAACAGAACACACTGGAAGGATTTGGTGGGCATTGACCTTGAGTTTGGGAGTTGTAGTTCACCTACATCCAGAGAGCACTGTGGACTCAAACAATGATGGATCTGGACCAAACTTGACACAAATATTCCATATGCCGAAATATGAACACAGATGGAGTTTCGGGGAAATAGACCTTGACATTTGGGATTTGTAGTTACTGGGATTTATAGTTCACTACAATTAAAGAGCATTCTGAAACCTACAAACGACAGAAATGGGGCAAACTGCCCACACAGAACCCCCATGACCAACAGAAAATACTTAAGGCCATCCAGTCCAACTCCCTTCACCAGGGCAAGAAAATGTAATCAGAGCCCTCCTGACAAAGAGCCATCCAGTCATAAATATAGATAGATAGATAGATAGATATGATTCTCTCTCACGCACACAGATATAATATCATAGATTTGAAAGAAACCCTTAAAGAAGGACTATGATATGTTGCATATTCCAGAGTAGGCAAACCAGACACTCTCCACATCAACACTGACAAAGAAACAACAAGAAATATTGTTTACCCACAAGCATAAAGGAATTACATATATTAGAAACCAACACTTTCTCATTACTTTATTTTCCAGATCACCAGACTGGGCCACAGCAACGCGTGGGAAGGGACAGCTAGTTCAGTAATAAATGCCCTGCAGTCTTGTTGCATAATCAGGAAATAAATTGTCACTTAAATATTTGTGCAGTAAAGCAAGGATAAGCATTGTGTGGCTGTTCAATTTTGTGTTTGCTTGCACCCAAAATACTCTGTAACATGTAGGATTTGAGTTCTTGCTGAGCAACAGCCAGAGTATAGCAAGCTTCCCCCTCCCCCTTGGGATAGGCTATGATATGCTTGTCATCAATGGATATAAAAGTATTTCATATCACCGTTAAAAAAATGAAAGCTCAGCAAGCATTTCCTTTAAAAGCTTTCCTCTTAGAAAAGTGTGCCAAAAGCAATACAATACATAGTCTATAGTACCTTCTAATTCCCCTTAGGCACAAGTATATAAATGACAATTAGCACGAATTTAACATATCCTCTCCCAAAATATGCCAAAGGCCATTACTTGAAAAGGCAAAGCAGTAAATGCTATATATATATATATATATATATATATATATATATATATATATATATGTCCCCCTCCCCCAGTTGGGTGTTGCCCTGAAAAATGATCAGGGAGGCCAAAACCCAGATATTAAAAACTGACAAAACTGCACAGACAGAGAATACTTCACATGCTGTGTGATGTGACCTCTGTTCCACAAAACTTTATGCCTCAGTAAATTTGGTTGTCTGTAAGGCACTGTACACTGTAAGGCACTGTAAGGCACTGTAAGGCACTGCGGTGGCACAGTGGGTTAAAGCACTGAGCTGCTGAGCTTGTTGATCGAAAGGTCGCAGGTTCGATTCCGGGGAGCGGCGTGAGCTTCCGCTGTCAGCCCTAGCTTCTGCCAACCTAGCAGTTCGAAAACATGCAAATGTGAGTAGATCAATAGGTACCGCTCCGGCGGGAAGGTAACAGCGCTCCATGCAGTCATGCCGGCCACATGACCTTGGAGGTGTCTACGGACAACGCTGGCTCTTCGGCTTAGAAATGGAGATGAGCACCACACCCCAGAGTCAGACATGACTGGACTTAATGTCAGGGGACTACCTTTACCTTTACCTTAAGGTACTGTAAGTTGTTTTTGCTGATAGTAATGTTTTTAAAAAGAAACCTGTATAGCCCAGTCAAGCAAAAATCATGTCCCTGTGTCATCATCATCATCATTATTATTATTATTATTATTATTATTATTATTATTATTTAATTTCTTACTTGCTGTTCTGTTGCGCGCTGGGCTTTTCTATAGAACGTATACTTTAAGCCCAGCGGGAAGCCAGGGGCGCCTCAAAGAGAGGTTCTCAGGGATTTTCCTGAAGTGATAGTCTTTAGAGTCTTTAATGATACAACAAAGCCTTTATTAAGGAACAACAAGTCTGCAATTGTTCAAATAACACTTCGAGACTTTCTTAGTCTAGTCCTCAATGGGCTGTTACCTGACTTTAATTAACTGAACCTTCTCTGTAGGAAAAACCCTTTTTAACTTCTCCCAGGCTGTTTACTATCTATGCCTCATCGGTGTGGGTCCTACTACCTAATTCCAAATGTGTCTGGGTATCGAGTAGACCTACCAGCTGAGGCTTGAAGATATTTCAGCTGGAGTTTGGTGGATCTGTAGTGCTGTCCTCCCTCAGAGAGTTCTTTGAAACTTCAGGGCTGTTTTCCCTCTGATTGCTGTGAGGCTGAGAGCTGTGAGCTCTCAGCCAGAGCTTTGGGACCTTTTCCCTGGAATTTCTGTTTCTGTTTTCCCGGATGGTCCTTTTTCCCTGGAAGCTCTTTTTTCCCTGGATAGTCCTTTTTCCCTGGAAGCTCTTTTTCCCTGGATAGTCTTGAGAAAAGAAGCTTTTCTATGGGACGAGCTGGTCTACATCCTATAGCCTAGCTTCCTTGTGTGAGACTGACCAAAAAGTGGCTCCTTTCCTGCTCAGAGCCTTTTCTGCTCAGGGGGCAGAACCAAAGCTTAATTATGATGGACAGGAGGCCTGCCCTATAACTGCAAACAGATAACAGAAAGAAAATAAAGTTGGAGCTCCTGGTACAGCCGTACCAGAACACTTGCCTCTCCTCGTGACTCAAAGTTGTGGATTCAGTATTTGCTGTTCACTATCAGATAACATTTGAGCGTATCTTGGGTAGCAATCTTTGCATTATAGCAAATCCGTTGGGTCCCAGTGGGGTTTGTGGAGAAGCCGTTCCTCCAGAGCACACATTGCCTGACTTACTGTTAGTCCGATCCCACTGGGGAAAGTGTCTGCCACCCAGCTTTCCCCCATTATTTCAAAGCAAAATGGGAAGCCTGCCATGTTGCAGCTGAGGAGGCATACACCGCTTGCTCTCCCCTTTTGCTACGGAGTCTGGCCGGAAGTTGATGTGCCCCATGTAATTTATTCTGTGGTGAAAGTAGTGAGTAAGCAGCATAAATGGGCAAATTGCCCATCTGATAAGGTGGTTGGTTAAATTCACTTCACCTCACTTCACTTTATTTCTTAATTAGTCACTCTCCACCAAGGTGCTCCAAGCGACTTACAGTCTAAAATAGCATTTACACAATATAAAGACATTCAACATAAAAACATTCAACAGTGACTATTTGGCAAATTAGATCTGATTACTTAAATGTACAACCAAACAGCCAAGTCTTGAGTGCCTTTACAAAAGGTCGCAACTCCAACATTGCTCTAATGTATGGATGCAATGAGTTCCACAGAATTGGAGCATAGGTCAAGAAAGCTCTACACCTTGTAGCTTCCAGGTGTACTTCCCTAGGGCCCGGTATGTATAGGAGATTTTCCTGGGTAGATCGAGGTGACCACTGATGGAGAAAAGGAATGAGGCGGTCCCTAAGATATAAAGGTCCTTGGCCATTTTGAGCTCTAAATGTCAGGATCAGTATCTTGTAAGAGATCCGATGTTCTATTGATAGCCAATGCAGTTGTTGCAGAATCTGTGTAATATGGGATCTTATAGATGATCCCACTAGCAGCCTGGCAGCTGCCTTTTGGACCATCCGAATCTTCTGGGTTGTTGACTTTGGAAGGCCGGCATATAAGGCGTTGCAATAGTCCAACCTCATGGTGACTGTTGCATGGATTACTGATGCCAATGCTTCTACCGAAAAAAAGTGCTTTTTTTAATGTACCAATATCTATGAATTACAGGCAAGCAAAAACAGTGGAGTACTATAACATCTTAAACAGTAAAAACATTTGAGATTTCCCACAGTAGTAGATATTTTTGTATAGGTAAAGGTAAAGGTAGTCCCCTGACATTAAGTCCAGTCATGTCTGTCTCTGGAGTGTGGTGCTCATCTCCATTTCTAAGCCGAAGAGCCAGCGTTGTCCGTAGACACCTCCAAGGTCATGTGGCCGGCATGACTGCATGGAGCGCCGTATTTTTGTATAGTTTCTGCAAATATTAAAAAAAACATTGATTGGCATAGTTTGAAGGATGTGTCAATGCATAACCTGTGGAATTGCCTTTAAATGAAATCAAATAGTAATATTTCAATTCTTGTATACAGTATTTCATGGCACTGTCCTAGTAGGTTCCAAGAGCATGATTTCTGTATTTCCTTTCAGGTTTCTGCTTTGTTTAGAGATGGAACGATTGGAGGCAATATTAACATTGCAGTTGTTGGCTTGATACTTTTGGAAGAAGACCAGGTACAATCAATATGATATTAAATATTATGGAATGGGTTAATTAGACTTTTAAAGCTACCAAGTAGGCATGAATCCATGACAGAACATATATTCACATGGAGAATATCTTATGTTCAGTTCCAGGTAGCAGGCATGAGAAAATCTCTGCCTGAAACTCTTCTTGGAGAGCTACAATATTGATTGTAATGACATTACTTAGCATAGGCAGCTTTAGATATTGTTCTCTCTTATCTTATTTACACATTCTTGAGTTTCTTTCGCTTGGGAGAATGAACAGAAGCAACGTAATGTAGCACAGGCACAAGATCAGGTTTGAAGGGCAGCAGCAGTTTAGGCTGAGAAAGCCACAACTGGATGAAATAAGTTATTCTTTACTACATCTATGACTAGTAACCCCTGATCAGTATGAACCATTTATAAAAATGGTGCCAATATACTTTGCACGTGATGGGAAAGAAAATACATATCTTCTCAGCTCATCCCTGCCTTTCAGCTGTGGCTAAATGGTTGGGACTGTTGTGTCTGAATATTCCTTTTATTTATTTATTTATTTATTTCGCGCATTTCTACCCTGCCCTTTTCAACCCCCGAGGGGAGACTCAGGGCAGCTTACAAAAGGCACAATTCGATGCCAGCGATACAGATAATAAGATAAAATATATATCAACAACAATTATAATACAATTAAAACAATCCAGTTATACATCATAGCTAATAAAAACCAGTCTAATGATCAACGTTCACCAAGCTCAAAATCCGTAAGTTCATTCCGCATTGTCATAATCCTATCCAATTCTAGTCGTCATTGTCCTTTGTCTGTCTGGCAGATTACCCAAAGACCTGGTCCCGTATCCATGTTTTTAGTTTCCTTCTAAAAGAGAGGATTGTGATAGAGGTGGGGCCGAAAGCAGGGCCTCCCCAGAGGATCTTAAACTCCGAGGCGAGACATAGAAGGAGATGCATTCGGACAGGTACACTGGGCCAGAGCCGTATAGGGTTTTGTAGGTCAAAACCAGCACTTTGAATTGTGCTCGGAACTGGATTGGCAGCCAGTGGAGCTGACATAACAGAGGGGTGATATGTTCCCTCTATGACGTTCCGGTGAGTAATCTGGCCACCGCCCGTTGGACTAATTGAAGTTTCCTAACAGTCTTCAAAGGCAACCCCATGTAGAGTGTGTTGCAGTAGTCTATTCGAGATGTGACAAGAGGGTGGATCACTGTGGTCAGATCAGACTTCCCAAGGTACAGGTGCAACTGGTGCACAAGTTTTTAGGATTGTGTTTTTGTAGATAAAATAGCTGGATTGTTTAAAAAGTTTATCTTGCTGTTAATACTGGACACATTCATCAAAGCGCCCTTCTTGAAAGACCAGTCAAGATCCCCAAAACCCTTAAAGCTATTGCTTTGGAGTACAAAACCACCTTCTAGTTCCTCTATTAAAGCCCCAAATAATATTTCAGACTTATCACTACTCTTGCTGCTACAACTGTGTTGACTTGTACATTCAAGTCCATGCTCTCTTTATTTATTTCCTCCCTTCCTTTTTCTTTTTTGTTTTTGTTTTTGAGTTGCCTGCAAACCCTGTGCACCAGAAGGTTGTGCTGCAATGTAATGCTTCATTTTATGTGCTGAGAGATTGGGGATCCTTAAGTGACAGCTTAATTACACTGAATGTTTAGCATTTCATGGTTGGACCAAGTCCAACCTGAAAGGAGTAGGAAGAGTAATCTTTTGATCTTACACCTGTGACATAATTTTCTTTTACTTCTCTGGCTCAGAATTGCTCTTTTTCTAAATAAATTGCTCACTGTTCTGTTGTTTCGTCTCTGTCCTTATTCAGCAAGGGGTGCTGTAGGCATAAAGCTACCTATCTAAAGAAATGATCTAGCTGTACATATTATGGGCACAAATTTTAGTTGATTAACCACTTAGTCTGAGAGACAGCCATGGCAAGGTTTATTTGATACTCTAAGCCTCATCAAGAGTCAAATCAGGCCTTTCCAATTCTCTTATACTTTGTTTAATGTCACAGAAAACCAACTGGGACATGTATAAAATAATAATATACCCAAAGATAATGTGTTTCAGAGGTAATATGGTTCACCTCTTCATGATATGGGGCACACACTTCCCTTTTATCCTAATTAACTGAAATTCAGGGTTTGGATTAATACACTTCTCTGGTCTCCTTGGTTAACTCACAATAAAGAAAACAACATATTTTTGAATTTGAATACCACACTTAATATAGATAAGTAAAAAAAATCCATTTTTACACTGCAAATTCTCTGCTCCCACATCAGCTCTAGTTGTGGGCACCTTGTGCATAAGTCATGGTGCTTAATGTAGTCATATCTACTTCTAAAGGCATATCTAGTGGGATTTTGGTGAGACTTGACATCTGGATGGACATTTCTACCTCTTTCAGCTGAACCTTTTTCCATAATAAAACTTGAGAAATGTTTCCCATATGTACTGTTGCTCCTACCTGCTCCAAGATTTATTTATTTTTTGTTTTGGACATTTGTATCCCGTCCTATCTCGACCTCCGCAGAGGGACTCAGGGTGGCTAACAAACCGGCACCCCATGGTGCCCACAACCAAACATAAATATACAAAATATAGCAATAAAACAGTATAAAACAGTATAAAGATTGTAATGCAATCTGCATTACCTTTGTTTATAAGACTGAAGGCCCTTACACATAGCCATATAACCAAGAATATCGAGGCAGATAATGCACAATATCTACTTTGAACAGGATTATCTAAATCCACACTGCCATATAATCCAGTTCAATGTGGGTTTTTATACAGCTGTGTGGAAGGGGCCTTACTGTACTTAACCAGTTCTCCCTTTTTCTTGTGAAACAAATGGTTTTGTTTTAAAGACTACTACTTCAGACATGTTCTCATTGGCTTTCATATAAACACAGTGAACTAAAAGCATCATAATAAAATAGTGGAATCCACAACATGCGAGTGTGGAGAAGAGCAAACCACAGACCACCTGCTGCAATGCAACCTGAGCCCTTCCACATGCACAATGGAGGACCTTCTTATAGTAACACCAGAGGCACTCCAAGTGGCCAGATACTGGTCAAAGTACATTCAATCAACTAACAAACTTACAAACTTTGTGTTTTGTCTGTTTGTTTGTTTTGTTATGTTAGAAATGTAATACAATTGTCTGATTGCCCCTGACACGATAAATATCTATTTTTCTGAACCATTTTTTCTTAGGAATATAAGGACTAAATTGGCCTTCTACGTAGATTGGCATATGTCCATGGCAAAATACAGTCAGTGCTTGACATTCATTAGGGTCAGGGGCACAGGATCCCATGAAAGTGAAAAAATGCACATTAAAATATTGCTATTATTTCTACCTTTGAGTGGTCACACTGAAGTTCTCCAAAAGAAAACTAGAGAATTAGACTGGAGGACTCAAAGATTCCTAGTGAGATGAAAGAAGTAAAAGTTGTGCCTTACTATTGATGATGAAGGTTGAGCTGCATTGAAAGAAGGGACAATTTCCAAGACTGGCTTGTTGATCTCTCAAAAGAAAAAGAAACTATTTCTGCCTGTCTTCTGTGAGTATTAATGCAAAGAGTTGGGGACACATTTCTGAAAGATTGGAATGGGTTTAGGAGAGAGGGATAAACGGAGAGGGGAAGATCTCTCAAATTTGCCAGCCTATCCCAGCTCTGAAATACCAGGACTCGTTCTCTCCGATATATGACACATGTTTGCATTCTCTAAATCTATGGAGATGGAACAGAAGTATTGGTGCTTCACTGTTCTTTGTTTTCCATAGATTTCTGTATGTTTTGATAAAGTTGCCATTGCGACAAAAATAACGTTCCCATTGACACTGAGATAGAGTTTTCTTCTGTTTGACTCTTGTCTCTAGCCAGGGCTCATGATCAATCACCATGCTGACCACACATTGAGCAGTTTTTGCCAATGGCAATCTGGGTTGATGGGAAAAGATGGAAGCCGCCATGACCATGCCATTCTATTGACAGGCCTTGATATCTGTTCCTGGAAAAATGAGCCATGTGATACCTTGGGTGAGTTGTTGATCAACATGATAGCAATGTCATCATCCCTGAAACATTCACCCTATCTGGTTTGACAACCAATGGGTCAAATCAAATTTGTTATTTAAAAAATGTTTTCAGAATTTTGTATCAGGACAATTATTCAGTTTGACCTTGGGCCAAACAGACATTATTGCTGTTAATCATTTTTATTCTCCATTTCCAAATACAGTCATTTCCAAATACAGTAAAAGAGGAGGCATGAAATGGTGACAAGGAAAGTAGGAGATTAGATAGATAATGGGGTAAATAGTGAGGATTAGGGAGTGGGTTGGGGTAGTGTTGGGGTTAGGAATCGCTTCTCAGCATTTTGGCTAAGATCAAGTGTAGTATCTGTTCTTATCAGCCAAACAGACATTTTTGAGAGTTGTCACTCTAGCTTTCATCATTGGTGAAAGAGATGTAAAGCAGCAGAATTTACTGGCAGACTATAAGAGGAGTATGAAAAATTAGCATCGTCTTATTTTCTTCTGTTTGTATGTAAGCTGTTCTCAGCTTGGAGGGATAAAAATGGAATAATTTCTGTATTTCTAGTTTTTAAATTTTAAGTATCATTATTATGTAGCAAAAGATAATTATCAATACTCCAGAGGGACATATTGGGAGGTTTTTGGAGGATATCAAATGTTGTGGAAGGTACATGAATGAATATTACGAGGTGATTTTAAGTAGGAAAACCTCCACCAAAAAACCAAAAAAAAACAGTGGTAGCCATCTTAGAATTATTGAGTAGTACTATTCATTCATTTCCTTTGTTGCTGGAGGGTCAGCTGCCCCTTTTTTCATATATTTGAGAAGGGGATATTAATTTGAAAATAATTGGCTAGAAAGAGATAGCTGGTGCGTGACTTATCACATAACTTTTGATGGCTAAAAGTGATCAATAACAAGAAATTACTTGTTCATGAAGTTACATGAAAACATAGAATTTCCAACATTTCCAAACGTTTTGTGCTATAACAGGGGAAGCATGTTTTCTATTACAGGGTATTGAAATAGCGTCCATTTGTTTCAGTCAAGAAGTGATGCTAGGTTTTGGTGGTTGTCATTGAAGTGATTCAGAAGAACCTATTTCCACCTCATTCGTGTTAAACTGTTGGCTATTATACCATCATTTCAAAGCTAACAAACCAGGATGTTTGAGATGTTTTTCTTTTGTTTTGTATTGATCAAAATCAATCAGAGACTGTGGGACATTGCCTTTTGTGAGCTGTCCTCTCGCTCTTATGTATCTTGCTCTCCTAGTGCCCTGTCCATACATTATGTTGGGCCTTTTCATGTAGCAAACTATCTAAAGAACTTGAAGGTAGCCAAATATCGCTGCCTATTTTCCAAAGCAAGGTGCAACATGCTCCCATCTGAATTGCTGCATGAGAGATTTGCAGGTACCCCATATAATGAAAGACTCTGCCCATGTAACAAACAGGAAGTAGAGTGCATCTACCACATTCTACTGTCATGCAGTTTCTATGAACAGGCATAAGCAAACATAATCAACCCCCCCCCCCCCCCAACTAAGGAATTTACCAACAAGTTCAGTGAAATTTTATGTGAAGTTTCTACTTAGTGACAACCTTCCCCACATGATCTTGGCAGTTGCCAAGTTTCTTTCTGAGGCAGTCAGAATTAGACATTTCCCAATTTTAGACACAAGCTGAAACACACCGGCACTTCTTGTAGTCTTTTACCTATGTTTTTAGCCAACATGTATTTTAAGCAGTTTTTACTATTTGCAAATTTTATCTGACTGGATGTTCTTAATCCCATTACCTGTATAACTTGTATGCTACAGTGTAATAAGGGTGTTCGGAACATAATAAAAATGTATGTATGTATTAGTCAAAATATGGATTCCTAGAATATTTTACCAAGAAAATTTTTACCAAAGAAATACTATTTTCCTCTCCTTTTCTGCATAATTTGCCAGGTTTTGCCCCAATCAGTGGAATGTGCAGTAAATATCGCAGCTGCACTGTTAATGAAGATACTGGGCTTGGACTGGCTTTTACTATTGCTCATGAATCTGGACATAAGTAAGTTTGGGTGCACATTTGAATGCAAACCACTGCTGAGAGATTTATTTGTCTGCCTCCACTTTCTGTCTCACTCAGTATACAAGTTTCTAGAGCCTGTGGCCTTTGGGACTGGAGTAATGGTTATAACTACGGCTTGTCAATACAGAAACACATAAGAGCAGAATAGAGCAAAAATGGTATTTGTAAACCATCAAGTTATCATTTCTGATTGATCACAATTTTCAGTGTTTTTATAGAAACTGCACTGGGAGGATAATTTAACCTGTGGGTTGTTTTCTCTTTTTAAAAATCCATACAACAAATCCATTGCATTGACTTCCCATCAGACTCCAATGTCTATATTGTAGTCAAATATAATTTTTATTATAATGTGTCAGACATATCTTACACACACAACTACAGAACAGTAGGCGTATACATTTCAGCTGAATCTCAATCTGTTTCTGCTATCCGAATACCAGTAGACCCCCATATCCATTTTGGTGTGCCTCCTGAAAATGAGTGGGTAGCCGGATAGCTGTTTTTGGTCCGTAGCCAATAACTGTAGTTAGATCCAGCCCATTAACAGCAATGGGAAACTTGTGAGGCTCCTCTTTCTCCTGGAAGCCTTTCCTTTCTTCTCTTCAAGAGAACCTTGGCTTCAGCAACGGGGTTAAGGAAGCACCCCATTCAGCCCATTATTTGCTGAGTGGGGGGGGGGAGCTTTCCACTGGCTCCCCTTCCATATCCTTCATTAAGACCTGGATTTTAAAAAAACATCAGAGTACTACTATTTCTGGATCCTTTCCCTTCTGTTTGTAGAGAAGCCTGGGTTTAATGCTTCTTAAAGCTGTTTCTACTCTAGAGAAGGGATGCTGCAGGCACACACTTTCTCTGCCAGCACCAACAGCATGCCACACAGCTTTGCAAGGCATTTTAAGGAGGCCCAGGGCAGGAAGAGCACTGACCTTGAGCTCAGTGGAGCTATCATCCCTGGACTACCTTAAAAATCCCCTTTATTTTCTCTACTGCCTGCAATTTCCTTTCTGCTTTGCTTCCTTAAAGCTGTTTCTACTTTCTACTCTAGAGGAGAGGTAGGCTTCTCTTTTTGTTTGCTGGGATTACTATTATTAATAAGAATTAATATCTTTTTAGAAGTATTTTCTGAAGGAGAGGAAGGAAAGGAGATAAAGAACCTGAAAGAGTGACTCTCCAAGCCCCCAAACATGCATGCATGTACCCTACCCACCGTCCCTCAAGTCTCTAACTCCCAGTCAGTCCCACTAAATAAAAAAATTAAGTAAAATCAAGAAGATTAAACTGTGATGCCGAATAGGGGAGAAAGAGCTGCAATTGGCTGCCACATGGTCCCTTTTTGGATGGGAAGCCCTGATGGCTGGGCCTTTGCTATTATGGACACTGGAACAAAACGGAGAAGCCATATTGGCCAAAGGGAATGACTAAAAATTAATTTGGGCTCAAGCCTACAGTACAGTACTATTAATTACTAAATACAGTAATTAATCAGGGTGACACTGGAGGATATTGTGTTCTGTGCATTTCTTGCTGTGTGGATGCATTGAAGGTAGTTAGTTTTAATAATTGTGTATTAATTTTTAAAGTGTGTGTGTGTGTTAAAAAAATGTTTATTCTACATAGGTTGTTAAAATATGTGTGACCTACATAACAACAGTGGTACTTTTACAATGATGGAGACAGGATGATGATAATGAAAAAGCAGAATATTTGGTACAATTATGTAGAGCTTTTCTAAATAAATCTCTGGTCATTTTTTTAAAGTGATATTTTACAAAAACTAAAAATTCTATGCAACATGAAAATATGTGTTTGACATTTTCCTTGTAGCTTTGCAGTATTAAGACTGGCATTGTAATTTATAACAATCAAATATGTTTTATTGTTTTCCTTTCCACAGCTTTGGTATGATCCATGATGGAGAAGGAAATATTTGCAAAAAATCTGAAGGCAATATCATGTCTCCCACACTGGCAGGACACAATGGAGTATTTTCCTGGTCGTCTTGTAGTCGTCAATATCTCTACAAATTTCTAAGGTATGTGTTCCAGGAAAGTAATACTTTCTGAGTAAAAGGCTGTTCGCTGAAAAAGATTCTTACACTCCCCTTTAGAGAACAATGAGTACTCATGTTTCAAGCCGCCTGTGACTCGGAATACCAGAACAGATAGAAAACATTCATAGAAAGCAGTAAGGACTGGATTTCAGAGGGTAGAAAGTCTGGGCATTCCTTGTCTGGATCTACACTGCCTTTATAGCCCAGGATTAGATCTCAGATTATCTGCTTTGAACTGGATTATATGAGTCTACACAGCCAGATAATCTGGGATATAGGGCAGTATAAATCCAGTCACTAAGACCAGCAAAGGACCTGTTTATTATTTGTTTATTTACAGTATTTATATTCTGCCCTTCTCACTCCACAGGAGACTCAGGGCAGATTACAACGTACATATACATGGCAAACATTCAGTGCCATAAACACACAACATATATAGACAGACACACAGAGGCTACTTAACACTCCAGCTTTTTGATGAGGGTATTCTGGCCACCAGGGGAGCTGTTGCTTCACCGTCCATTCGAGACACTGGTGAAGTACTTCCTCATTCTTTGCATGCTTGCTGGAGATTTTTATGGCATCATAAATTAGTTAAATTAGCCTCCCCGCATATGCGGTACGAATTTTTCACTTGACAGATGCAACTGTCTTTCGGGCTTCAAAGATCAACAGCAAATTGGTTGGAAGCTCACTCCAACCTGGGCTAGCTTTGAACTCATGACCTTTTGGTCAGTAGTGATCTTAATGCAGCTGATTCCCAGCCAGATGCGCCACAGTCCCAGTGACTTGGCAGGAGTGATGTTCTTTCATTGTATGGATCACCTAAGGAAGTCAGAAGTCTACATGTTATCTCTTTCAAGGATCCTTGGAAGGTGGGGAGCATGTGCCCCCCCCCCAATGTTTCACGGAAATCCTTAATTATTAAAGACAATTCAAGGTTTTTTTTCCCCCTCAAAGAAGCATGATCAATTCTGAAATAAGGAGTCCAGATACATGAAACAGGATGAAATAGGGGGGCCCACCCCTTCTCTCCAGCCCCTGATTTTCCCCCTAAAACTTACTGAAAAGATCCCTGACCCCCATGGAGCCTCTCCCCGTGTCCTCCTGGTATGAGAAAATGACCCGTGAGGAGATGGGGGATGCGGAGGGATTTTCCTCATCCCTCCTACCTCTTCACACATCATTTTCTCATGCCAGGAGGAGGTGAAGAAAGGCTCCATGGGAGCCAGTGCCTTTTCAGTAAGTTTTATGGGAAAAACCAGGGGCTTCAGGGTAACTTCATACTATCCCAGCCACACTGGGAGGAAAATCCCGGAGCTGTGGGAGGTGAGGACTAGAACCCTCACCAAAGTGGGTTACTATAAACCATTTCGGCACTGATTTTAGTCATGTCTGGAAGTGCCCTAAATGATGCTGGTGCTACTACTGCAGACATGAAAGTCAGTCACAGTAGCTCTTTCAATGTTTTCAAGGATAATTTCAAGGATAATTCTTTTTCTAAAGGGTCAAGAGCAAAGTAATTCAACCATGGCTTTCTGTGTAATGTGATTTCTGTTGAATAATTCTCTTTTGACTTAGGCCCCCTTTACACAGCCATATAATTCAGTTTGAACTGGATTATATCATCAGATCGAACTGCATTGAACTAGATTATATGAGTGTACACTGCCATATCATCTGCATTATAGTGGCAATGTAGTTGAAACCTAAGTCTCAAGAAGGGGGTGGCGGGAGAGTGATGATGAATGTTCTGTAATGCAACACCCATGATATCTTAAGAGCACATACCTATAACTAAGTTTGAATAGTAAAGGATGCACATACCAGACATGTGTAGTCATCGTAAAGCTATGGTTGGCTGTGGCTGTAACTCCTTGCTGAATGTAACATTTGGTGACAGACCTATGTTATATTATGTGTCAAATTGATGTTGAAGTACTGCTAAGTTCACCCATTTGAGTAATAATAATAATAATAATAATAATAATAATAATAATAATAATTTTTGTCGTGTCAGGAGTGACTTGAGAAATTGCAAGTTGCTTCTGGTGTGAGAGAATTGGCCGTCTGCAAGGACGTTGCCCAGGGAACGCCCGGATAATTTGATGTTTTTATCATCCTTGTGAGAGGCTTCTCTCATGTCCCCACTTGGGGAGCTGCAGCTGACAGAGGGAGCTCATCCACCTCTCCCCGGATTCGAACCTGCGACCTGTGGGTCTTCAGTCCTGCCGGCACAGGGGTTTAACCCACTGTGCCACCAGGGGCTCCAATAATAATAATAATAATAATAATAATAATAATAATAATAATACTTTATTTATACCCCGTCACCATCTCCCCAAGGGGACTTGGAGCAGCTTGCATGAGGCCAAGCCCAACAACACATCAAAAGACAAAAAGCAATAAGCAAATAAAACAATACAATTAATATAAATATAAATCACATATAAAACAATAACACGCAATGATTTAAAAAAACCTATGACCAGGCCAAATGTAATCGTTTTCAATTTAAAAAATAAATGCTGGGCATGAACAGAGGTAGGATGTATCTGATAAGAGGGTTTTAAAAGAAATAAAGGGAGAGCAACCCAATGAGTAATTAAAGTGCTTCTGAGGACATTTGGCTGGGAATTATTTCCTTATTCAGGGAAGGCACACTGGAACAGACATGTTTTCGGGCTCCTCCTAAAGACTGCCAATGTGGGGGCTTGCCTGATATCCTTAGGAAGTGAGTTTCAGAATCAGGGAGCCACCACCGAGAAGACACTCTTCCTCATCCCCACCAATCTTGCCTGCTGAGTAGAAATAGGCCTTATTCAGAGATTCTAATGGATCCCATGAGAAGTGGTATGGAGCATCTTAAAGGGATGTGGCAAGTGTCACCCAATAAACTTCACGGATCAGTTGAGATATTGGGTTCTCCATTATTAATATGGTAAACATTTTAGCATTCACTATGCATGATTATGTGTTTTTTAATGGGCATTCCTTCTAAACACTCAAAAGTTAGATGTGATAATCTATCTGAAAACAGAAAACCTGCAGACAGTGAGCTTGATAAGAGTAACACAGTGATGTTTTCAAGCTGTCTTGTTTTTCTGTCACTTGTAAGACTGATGATGTGTTATGGATGTTATGTAGCTTAACACAGGCTCCTGTGCTAATTTCTTTCAGACACTCTAAAAATACTGATCATGTTATCCTGTCATTTCCTATATTAATAGGAAAATATCTCATTCTGTTTCATGATGCCAGCATGGCAATTCTTATTTTAGAAGAACCGGCTAATATTAGAAGAGTGACACACATGTCTAACATTCACAGGATAAGTTAATCTTGTTTTTCAGCAGGACAAAATTGACGGCATCTGGATGTCAAGTCAGGTATAGCAGAACTGAAGGCATCTAGATGTCAACTCAATTATTTGTAATATTTGATCCAAATAAAGACCTTTGGGACATCAACCATGCCCAGAGGGGTTTTAAAAATGCTAGATTCAATGCTATGCTGCGCCTGTACCTTGGGAAGTCTGATCAGGCCACAGTGGTCCATGCTCTTGTCACATCCCAAATAGATTACTGCAACACGCTCTACGTGGGGTTGCGTTTTAAGACCGTTCGGAAACTGCAATTAGTCCAATGGGCGGCAGCTAGATTACTCACCGGAGCATCATTCAGGGAGCATACCACCCCCCTGTTATGTCAGCTCCACTAGCTGCCGAGCACAATTCCGAGCACAATTCAAAGTGCTGGTTTTAACCTACAAAACCCTATACAGCGTACCTGTCTGAACGTATCTCCTTCTATGTCCCACTTCGGAGTTTAAGAGCTTCTGGGGAGGCCCTGCTCTCGGCCCCGCCTCTGTCTCAAACACGTTTGGCGGGAACAAGGGATAGTGCCTTCTCGGTGGTGGCCCCCCGCCTGTGGAATTCACTTCCCAGGGAAATTAGGTCATCATCATCCCTGCTCACCTTTAGAAAGAAGGTAAAAATGTGGATGTGGGACCAGGCCTTCGGGCAATTAGGTGAAAAGGACAATTAACAATGATGACTATGACTTGGAAGTGGATTATGGATAAGTTAAATTGAGTACTCAATCATAGTTTATGGCTAGATAACGAACCACCAGACTGGTAATAGCTCAGTGGACTTTAAGTATACTGTTTTAATCTTTATATCTTAATGTTTATGCTTTTAACTGTTAGAATTGCTGTTTTGTAATTTATTATGCAGCATCGAATTGTTGCCAATTGGAAGCCGCCCTGAGTCCCCCTAGGGGTTGAGAAGGCCTGGGGAAAAGTGTTCAAAATAAATAATTAAATAAAATAGTTTACTCTTCTGCACATTTTTGTCCATTAAAATGATATGTAGTGAGGCTGTGACCTGTCAAAAAAAATGCCAAACATACCAATTTGAGAACTAGTTCACACTGGGTAGTTACCATGTATATACCCTGGTTTGGGAAGATCTAGTACATTTTCCAGGCTTTGTTGATAATATGTGAATAAAGGTATTCCTAGTTATGTGATCATGAACTGCAGCAATACTCAGGACTTTGTAATGCTTTTATTCATTTAGATCCAAGACATAAAATACATAAGGCTAGGATAGTTTTCCTCCAGCAGATGTTTTCTGGATTTTTTCTAGAATACATTCCCTCCACCATCACCCCAGTTTTCCATGTGTGCTTCTTCAGAATTTGTTGTTGTGTGCCTTCAAATCATAGAATCATAGAATCATAGAATCAAAGAGTTGGAAGAGACCTCATGGGCCATCCAGTCCAACCCCCTGCCAAGAAGCAGGAATATTGCATTCAAATCACCCCTGACAGATGGCCATCCAGCCCTGTTTAAAAGCTTCCAAAGAAGGAGCCTCCACCACACTCCGGGGCAGAGAGTTCCACTGCTGAACGGCTCTCACAGTCAGGAAGTTCTTCCTCATGTTCAGATGGAATCTCCTCTCTTGTAGTTTGAACCCATTGTTCCGCGTCCTAGTCTCCAAGGAAGCAGAAAACAAGCTTGCTCCCTCCTCCCTGTGGCTTCCTCTCACATATTTATACATGGCTATCATATCTCCTCTCAGCCTTCTCTTCTTCAGGCTAAACATGCCCAGCTCCTTAAGCCTCCTCATAGGGCTTGTTCTCCAGACCCTTGATCATTTTAGTCACCCTCCTCTGGACACATTCCAGCTTGTCAACATCTCTCTTGAATTTACATCTTATACCAACCATAAGGTATCCTTATCACAGGTTGGTTTTTGTGGTGGGGGGAGCAGTATTTGTTTCAAAGTGATTTTGTCATTTCCTTTAGCTGTGGATGAAAGACTGACTTTCCCAAAGTCAGTGGGTTTCCATAGCCAAGTAAATATTTGAACACTGATCTTCCAGAGTCCTAGCTGAATACTGAAAACACTACACTAGGCTATTTTTTGTGTTAGTTGTCCTCTGATTTTAATGTGCAGAAGAAATTCTAGCAAAAACTATTGTGATCTAAAGTAGTCTTGTTTCAGAAGTTGCATTTCCATACTCAATGATATTTGTATGGGCCTCTTGTAGTTCTGCTCAGTCCTTATGTCTTGCTGATCAACCTAAGCCTGTGGAAGAGTACAAGTATCCAGAGAAGCTTCCAGGAGAACTGTATGATGCAGCTACTCAGTGCAAGTGGCAATTTGGAGAAAAAGCCAAGCTGTGTATGATGGACTTTAAAAAGGTAAGAAACCCATTTTCACAACCAAACACTATCCAAGGACCTTATCACATTAGGGGAATCTGCCACCCCATGCCATGCATCGCCTACCTTTCTTTTCACCTTATCCTATAGGAGAAGCAGCTGCCACTCGGCAATTGTTTTCAAGCCTCCCATGTTGACGTCATTGCCATCTACACCAATTTCACACCTCTTCAGCCATGGATCTCCTCTGGAAGTAGAACAACATTGTGTGATGGGAGACAAGGCTCTCCTGCTTGAAGAGATGTGAAATTGTTGTAGAATGGGCAATTTGGCCCATCTAATGGGGTTGTAAGTGAGCCTTTATTCTAACCTCACAAGGACCCAAAGAGTTATCTCAGTTGGAAAAAAAACAACAATGGCATTGCTATAGTCTGAGACAAATAGATTCTGCTTGACTTGAAATTTGAAACCAGGCATTTCCAGCCAAACATCAAAACAGATCCATAAACATTTCAAAATCTGGGAAAGTAAAGATGTGATTTGGTGCTAGAACAGTGGTTCCCAACCTGGGGTCCCCAGATGTTTTTGGACTTCAACTCCCAGATATCCTAACAGCTGGTAAACTGGCTGGGATTCCTGGGAGTTGTAGGCCAAAACACCTGGGGACCCACAGGTTGAGAACCACTGTGCTAGAAACACACCAAAGAGTGAGGACCACTCTAGGGAGAGTATTTCAAAGCTGTGGTGCCATCACTGGAAAATCTCTCTCCAAATGAGGAGGGAAGATGAGACAAATCTATTGGTTTTACTTAAATTATTTATTTGATTGATAAACTGGATGCATTACTTGAACATAGATGGATTGTGCTTAGGCTAGCAATTGGATTTAGGCCTATGATCAAGTTTATTAAGTAGTAACACTAGTCCAAATCGACTTTTTTCAGTTGGTTTCCTTTCATCAGCACCAAGAATTAGGTTTAGCCCCTAGAGTGAAATGTAATTCATTCTCATATGTACAATCTAGTGGAAATTATGTATTCCCAAATCTTAAATACAGTTAATGGATCAGTTGGCTTCTACTGCTATTCTTCCTTGATCTATAGAAGACAAGAAGAACAACAACTCCATAGTCAATATACCCCACACATAAAGGATTCTGCTTCCTTTTGACATAGCTATAACTGTGGGTTGTGATTCTCAGATCTCAAGGCCTGGCAATGAGCCTACAGTTTTTGTGGATTGTCTCTGGGTGGGAGATGAAGGTGCAAAGGTTCCAGTTTTTGTGAGTTCAGATTCAGACAAGAGGATTGTGCAGAAATCTACATCTCAGCTGGTATAGCAACAGCTTGCTATGATTTGTTCGTGACTTGCAAAGACTCTTGGGTATGCATTTATTTAGGAAGCTTTCTCCTTCTCTTCTAGTCACTCTAGTGCCAAGGCTCTGCACCCACCTAAATTAAAAATTCCTTTATTCCATCTCTAAATAAACAAAAAGGACTTATCATTTCATCATGGACCCCCCAGTGGTGCAGTGGGTTAAACCCCTGTGCTGGCAGGACTGAAGACCGACAGGTTGCAGGTTCAAATCCGGAGAGAGGCGGATGAGCTCTCTCTATGAACTCCAGCTCCTCATTCGGGGACATAAGAGAAGACTCCCACAAGGATGATAAAAACATCAAATCATCTGGGCGTACCCTGGGCAATGTCCTTGCAGACAGCCAATTCTCTCACACCAGAAGCGACTTGCAGTTTCTCAAGTTGCTCCTGACATGACAAAAAAAATCATCTTCATCTGGAAGTAGTCAGTCCCCTGTACCTATGATTTACTTCTTAATATCAAAATTTCTTTGGAGGATAAGCTGTGAACAACTGTAGTTGGTTCTTCAGTCATAATGCTCAATACAATAAGAGGATGTTCCTAAGTTTTGGTTCAGAAATCTCAGGGTCTGAACTATCAACCCTACTATGGATAGAACTGGACATTATCATCCCCAACTCCAAACCTTATAGCTGTCTTTATCTCCCATTAGGATATTTGCAAAGCATTATGGTGCCATCGAATTGGAAGAAAATGTGAAACCAAATTTATGCCAGCAGCAGAAGGGACAATGTGTGGTTATGACATGGTAAGAAATTATTTGAACTGGGTTGTTGTAGGTTTTTTCGGGCTGTATGGCCATGGTCTAGAGGCATTCTCTCCTGATGTTTCACCTGCATCTATGGCAAGCATCCTCAGAGGTAGTGAGGATCCTCAGAGGTAGTAATTATTTGAACTGTTTTTGAGTAAGGATAGTGGTAGAGATGGGCCTGGGATAAAAGGAATTAAGAGTGGACAATACATAATATGCATGCCACCACCAATTTAAATTTGGGCTATGACAATCTATGGTTGGTTAAACTGCAGATAAGGAACCTGCTAATCAAGAGGGCTAATATTAATAATAGTAATACCTTCTTTCCTACTTTCTGCGTCTTGTAAATGTGTTCTCTTAATTCAGCACCATCGTGTTCTGTGTCATCAACATTTTTCTGAATTCCAACATTATTTATTTCACTCTCCTTCCTTTTCTCTTCCTATCTCATAACTCTCTCCATCATCTCAGTTTCTTTCTGTGTATCCATCTCATTCTCCCTGTAATCCAATCTCATAGTGCTCCCAGTTTTCTTGCTTTATTCTCTCCCTCCCTCTTCCTTCCTTTTCCTTTTTCTCTGAGTTTCCACTCTCTAAAATTCGGCAACAGCACTAATGCCTTTTCTATTCCATCAACTAAAATATTCAAGGTCAGGCTGAATGTGACAACTGTCAGTGTAATTAGCAATTGTGTTAATGGCTTTCAAATAATAAGGATCAGATACAGGAGACCTTAGCCTAGTGGAGTTAGATGGAGGCTCTCATAAATATCAGTGAATATTTTCCTTCTACCAGTTCTGGTAGTAGCATAGATCCTAATCTGGAATGAATATGAGAACAGTGTTTTTCCCTTAAAAGGGTCCCAATACTTAAGCAACCATCTGTGTACTTGCTGTTTTGATTGATGGTGTCATGTTTCATTGACCCCCAGGCAGAATGCAGTGAAGCTGGGTGCAAGATGCTGAAATTACAGCCTCAGCTCTGCCTTGTAGTGGCAGGCAGCTCCCATGTCAAAGTTGATGGTGCCCCCACTCTGGGTTTTAATCTGAATTTTAAAAGAGCAGTCCAAGATTTTGCATCTGTTTGGAGGATAAAGTTTAGCACCTTGAATAGCTCCTCTAAAAACCAAACTTAAAGTTGAAGCAGATTCATCACTCCACTGACATGGAAGTAACCTGTTCCTGCTAGTATTTATTTATTTATTTATTTATTTATTTATTTATTTCTTGCACTTCTACCCCACCCTTCTCAACCCCCGAGGGGGGACTCAGGGCGGCTTACAAAAAGGCACAATTCGATGCCGGCACAACAACAAGGTAAAAAATAAAACATATAAACAGTAATTAAAACAATTAAAACTATCCATTATACATCACAATCCCTAAAAACAATCTAGTGCTCAACATTTACCAGCTCATAGTCCATAAATTCAAATTCCACATTGTCAAATCCATCAATTCTAGTCGTCGCTTGTCCCTTATCTATCTGCCAGATTACCTGAAGGCCTGGTCCCAAATCCATGTTTTTAATTTCCTTCTAAAGGAGAGGAGGGATGTCGATGACCTAATTTCCCCGGAGAGTGAGTTCCACAGGTGAGGGGCCACCACCGAGAAGGCCCTGCTCCTCGTCCCCACCAATCTCACTTGTGATAGAGGTGGGGCCGAGAGCAGTGCCTCCCCAGAAGATTTTAAACTCCGAGGCGGGACATAGAAGAAGATGTGTTCGGACAGATACGCTGGGCTGGAACCATATAGGGTTTTGTAGGTCAAAACCAGCACTTTGAATTGTGCTCAGAACTGGATTGGCAGCCAGTGGAGCTGACATAACAGAGGGGTGGTATGCTCCCTGTATGATGCTCTGGTGAGTAATCTAGCTGCCGCCCGCTGGACTAATTGAAGTTTCCGAACAGTCTTCAAAGGCAACCCCACGAAGAGTGTGTTGCAGTAATCTATTCGGGATGCAACGAGAGCGTGGACCACTGTGGCCAGATCAGACTTCCCAAGGTACGGGCGCAACTGGTGCACAAGTTTTAATTGTGCAAAAGTTCTCCCGGCCACCGCCGAGACCTGGGGTTCCAGGCTCAGCGATGAGTCCAGGATCACTCCCAAGCTGCGAACCTGCGTCTTCAGGGGGAATGTAACCCCATCTAACACAGGCTGTAACCCTAAGCCCTGTTCAGCCTTACGACTGACCAGGAGGACCTCTGTCTTGTCTGGATTCAGTTTCAATTTGTTAGCTCTCATGGTTGTGGGGCCGAACAGGTGTCACCCAGTAACACCTTCTGAGATCGTCCCTCGAGAAAGGACCAGAGCCACTGCAGAGCAGTACCCCCAAGTCCCATGTCTATGAGGCGTCCCAGAAGGATACCGTGGTCGATGGTATCGAAGGCCACTGAGAGGTCCAGCAGAACTAACAGGGGCACACTCCGCCTGTCCAGCTCCCGGCGAAGATCATCTACCAAGGCGACCAAGGCTGTCTCAGTTCCCTTGCTCTTTCCACATTTAGTCAGCTGGGTGGAACATAGAGGATGCCATAAAAGGCATGAAACCCCTCATCTAAGCAGATGAATTCAGCTGCTATTGTGGCATCTCTTGCATGTTACTTTTGAGGAGAAATGATTTACATTCCCAGAAGAAGCAATATCATACCACCCTCCTTCCTCCAAGCCAAAGTGTTATTTGACTCCAGACTAGATTTTAAGGATATCATACACATGGCACATGTCAGGAGGAATCCAGACAGACACAATTTAAGCTCTACACATCAAAGCCAACATGTGCTTTTAGGTTAAATGGAGTGTAATCCTGACTGACAGCCCCAAGAGAAGTGGTGTGTTTATATTTTCTGTCCAAGAATAACAGACAGAAACAATTATTCTTAAACAGATTACTTCATCTATAAATCAGATACTATGTACAATCTGTTTGCTATCCTTGCTATCTTCTCCAATTTCTAAAGCAACACTTTGCCATAAATCATTCTCATAAGAATAAAGGGTTAAGGTCTAGATTAATCCAAAATGATAACAGAAAATCTAATTAGTAGATCCTTTGAACTTCATTTCAAACACAACTGCCTTTATCTGGAAAAAAGATCTACACACAGAAGTAGGTTTGTACATGTTTCCAAATGGATGTTTGAAGACAACTACTCAAAACTGTGTTCTTTTAAATGCACAGATGTTAGAAAGTGCAAGACATGATGATCTTCAAATCAGCTGTTAATTGATAAGTAGATTGTGAAAAGCTGAGAAATAATAGAGTTAATTCAATGAATAAACCTGGCCGGGGGGGGGGGGGGGAGAGAGAGAAGACCAATGGATTAATAAACCTTTTGTATGAATTAAGCCCATATAGGTTTAGACTTTGTATTGTAGATTAAAACAAAATCTGTAAGGATTTGCATTTCCCAATCTGGGACGTCATCACATGTAGTAAAATCAGCATTTCTACACATTCAAGAAATGGCAACCCATTTCTTAAATGCCGTTTCTAAAGTGTTGGTTTCCCCAACGATTTCTAAGCCAGTTGGCAATTGACTTATTTTTAAATTTCCCATGTAGAAACGGGCAAAATTATTTATTATTTATTTATTTACTGCGCTTATATACCGCAGTTCTCAGCCCTTCAAGGGCGACTCATTGCGGTGTACAACATGAAGAAAACAAGTGCAATCTACAAGGCATAGTGCAAAACAGTGTACAATTCATCATAATCATAAAAACATCTTATCAGACAACAACATTACTACAAAATTACTACTACATTCCGAATCGTCTCATCGTCAAGCCACAATCCGATCTCATTTCCGCTGTTCCATTCCTATGGTCAATTGCCAGTCATTGCACTTATTGATCAAATGCCTTCTTAAATAGCCAGGTCTTTAACTTCCTGCGGAATATTAGCAGGGAGGGGGCTAGCCTGATGTCCACGGGAAGGGTGTTCCACAGCCGAGGAGCCACCACCGAGAAGGCCCTATCTCTCGTCCCCGCCAGCCGTGCCTGTGAGGCAGGCGGGATCGAGAGCAGGGCCTCCCCGGAAGATCTCAAAGTCCTCGTGGGCTCATAGGCCGAGAGGCGGTCAGTTAGGTATCTTGGGCCGGAACCGTTTAGGGCTTTATAGGCCAGCCAGCACCTTGAATTGAGCCCGGTAGCAGATTGGCAGCCAGTGGAGCTAGTACAGCAGGGGGGTTGTATGCTTCCTACGTCCCGCTCCTGTTAGTATCATGGCTGCCGCATGTTGGACCAGTTGGAGCTTCCGGGCCGTTTTCAAAGGCAACCCCACGTAGAGAGCGTTGCAGTAGTCTAAGCGGGATGTAACCAGAGCGTGGACTACCGTGGCCAAGTCAGACTTCCCAAGATACGGGCGCAGCTGGCGCACGAGCCTAAGCTGTGCAAATGCTCCCCTGGTCACCGCCGAGACCTGGGGCTCCAGGCTCAGCAATGAATCCAGGATCACACCCAAGCTTCAAACATGCGCCTTCAGGGGGAGTGCGACCCCATCCAGCACAGGCTGTAACCCTATACCCTGTTCGGCCTTGCGACTGACCAGGAGTACCTCTGTCTTGTCTGGATTCAATTTCAATTTCAAAATGGCCAATTTCCCCATATAATGTAAAATGATGACGCCATGTGTGGGAGCAACCAAAATGCCAATTTCCCCAATTTTAAACAACTGCTTACAATCGCCAATGCGGATCCTTGGGGAAAGATTAGGGTTAATTTAAAACCACTTCCTACAATTTGGGGTTGATGGTTTTTTTAAAAATGATAAATAATCAAAATCCTGGAAGGACAATGGAAGAAAACAAATCTCTACCATGTGATGTCTAATCAAATGGATGAATCCTAAAGAAAATAGAGAAAAGAGAGAGAAAAGGACAAGGTGTAATCTAGGATCTGATCCCAGATTATCATGCATTTAATTTCTAAATGGGTATTGTGAAGCTTAAGGGAAAAACAATGATTCAAAACACTTTACATTTTCCATGGGACGAAGTCCCTAGTGTCCTCTAGGACATCAGCTTCTACCATCTGCCTCCAACATGAAAACTGGAGAAAACTGATAAAGGGCAGTGGTTCCCAACCCATGGGTCATGAAAAGTTTTCTGTGGGGTTACCATGCAGTGGTGAGCTATGAAAATTGTAAAAAGTGAAAACAAAATATCACAGCATCCAAATGTCACCATGCTTGCATTTAGAGTCTTTGATTTCACAAATCGCTGAGAGAGTGGATTTTCAATGCTTCTTCAATTAAAAACCAAAACAGCTTAAATGTTGGGAATAACATAATCTGGGAATGCACTCCCTAAAGACATCAGACAGGCCCCAACTCTGGCAGTCTTCAGGAGGAGCTTGAAGACGTGGCTGTTCCAGTGTGCCTTCCCGGAATAATGATCCCATAGCACTTTGTCCTCCAAAGCACTTTACATTTCTTTAGGTCTGCTCATATGCCCTTCCACAAACACCACTATCACCTTTTTGTCCATGTCCCAGCATTATTTCCAATTTTAACTCTACATTTGGCCTTCCCACTGTTTTTAATTGTGTGTTGTCTTATTGATAATGTTGTATATTTTATTGTCTATGTTTTTTAATTGCTTGTATTGTTGTGACTATTGCTTGTATTGTTGTGTTTGGGCTCGGCCTCATGTAAGCCGCACCGAGTCCCTTGGGGAGATGGTAGCAGGATACAAATAAAGTGTTGTTATTATTATTATTATTATTATTATTATTATTATTATTATTATTATCCTGGCATTAACAAAAAAATCCATGATTTTTAAAGCTTGTTAATGAGTTACAATTTCAATCATCTCATTAAATATGTCAAGAGTTGACATTATTTTGAATTATATTATACTGAAAAAATATTTTCAATATATTTTAAACTACCCTATTAAAAGTCTATTTTTAATGTATCAAGATCAGGGGTCACGACTTGGAAAAGGTTGGGAATTGTTGGTATAAGGGGTATAAATCTATAATTTCTTCTTAAAGATATTGCTATTGCTGCATACTCACTTCAGCTTCTTCTACATCAAATTCCCAGGATTTGATCCCAGATTTTCTGGCAATGGAGATTCATATAATGCAGTTCACAGCAAATAACCTGACATCAGATCCTGGGATATAAGGACAGTGCAGAAGGGACCTAAACTGCATATTATGTCACTTTGTACCTTTACTGAAGAAAGTCTTTTTGAGACCCAAAAGGGCAAAACTGTCCAGCTCAGAGAATTGTATTGACATCGCAACGGAAGACTAAAAGAAATAGAAATGCAGTGCTATGCTATCTGGATTGTTTTGTCTCCTGGGAAAACTATGTGACCTTGGACATGCAGTAGTTTATCATACAGTCCAGGTGTCTCAAAGGAAAGCATAAATCTTTTGACCTTAGGGAGCTTTGCCAAATGCCAAAAATCTCGTGTCTTTTCTTGTTGCTTAGTGGCAACAATACTTTAGAAGGCCAAGGAATTCTTACAACTGAACATACTGTTGATTTCTACAATTTACTAAGTGAAGTTTGTACTGACCATTAATCTTTACCAAGTAAACAAACTCATAAAGTTGATACACATAATATACTGGAGCTGCTTTTAGCAGCTTAAAAATTGTGTTTATGTTTCTTTTTTCCTATTTTTGCATATCAACTTTTTACATGGATTCTTCCATAAGTTCAATGATTGCATGAATTGCAGGGTCCAACTCCCATCTTATATGTACTGCATTGTATACTTGCAATGTAAGTATATGAATACTGTCATCATATGTTAGAGTGAGTCTGATGGGAACAGACTCAGGACCCTTCCACACAGTCATATAACCCAGGATATAAAAGCAGAAAATCCCACAATATCTGGGTTGTTGTAGGTTTTTCCGGACTATATGGCCATGTTCTGGAGGCATTTTCTCCTGATGTTTCGCCTGCATCTATGGCAAGCATCCTCAGAGGTAGTGATTAATTTTAACAAGCCTTTGATGGAAAAGTGATGGAAAAATGCCACTTTAGTGATGATGGATGGATAGATGAATAAAAAGCAATGTTTTGAGGTCCTTTCTACACTGCCATTAATCCAGATTATCAAAGCAGATGTCCACATTATCTGGTTTGAATTGGATTATATGAGTCTACATTGCTATATAATCCAGTTCAAAGCAGATAATGTGGATTTTATATGGCAGTGTAGAAGGGGTCTGAGAGATCGAACACTATTAAATACATACAGAATTGATAGAAAGTAATGAGTAATGCTTGCCTGTCTTCATAAAACTCATGTTAAGAAAATCTTTTGATGGCCATATTTTTAGTGCTGAATTTTAAACTATTACCATTTTGAAATTGTAAAACAATGAACAAATGAAATGTTTAAAGCACAAACACATTGTATTTTGCAGTGGTGTCGTGGAGGCCAATGTGTGAAATATGGTGACGAAGGACCCAAGCCCACCCATGGTCATTGGTCAGAGTGGTCCACGTGGTCATCATGTTCCAGAAGCTGTGGAGGAGGCATTTCACATCGTGAACGAAACTGTACTAATCCAAGGTGACTGAAAAGTTCATTTGCTAAGCTGAAATACTTCGGAGTAAGTTCTGTCTTGACAAAAAAATGTGATAACCAATGCATTCCAAATGATAAGCATTAGATATTTCCACATCAAGTACTAATTTTTTTCAGTTGCCCAAAAACATATATATTCTGCCATAAAATATCTTGTTTCTATATCATGCTCTCAAGAGACAAAAATAAAGTGGACTTCATTAAAAGTAACATATTTGGTTTAGTCACAACCTTCCATGTAGTGAGCATTTAGGCACATAACTTGTCAAACCAGTTACGGATAGGGTTGAAGTAGTTTCTTTGTGCAGATAACACAGGGCATCTTTCTTACAATCAACAGCACATGAGTTTTCTCTTAACAGTCTAAAGTCTAATGGTGTCTAAAATGGAGTCTGAGTTCTGAGCAGTCTCAGATCTGATCATGTGGTCAGCAGCCCCTCCCACAACTTCTCAAAAAACATAGAGTAAAGGAAAAGCTGCAGACCAAAACATACATACAGTAAGCAAACAGAATCATATATAAACAAATTATTAGTGGAGGTTTGAAAAATGTTGCTATTTCCAACATTTAAATTATTGAAATTTTGCTATAAATGCCTAGTGCATCCTCTGCATTATATGAGAATATTTAAATATATGTTGTTAAACTTGTTAACACCTGGTCTGAAGCAGTTGTTCAATTAATGTTGTAGGCCATCCCATGGAGGGAAGTTCTGTGAGGGTTCTCCTCGGATGCTGAAACTCTGCAACAACCAGAAATGCCCAAAGAACAGCATTGGTTTCAGAGCTGCCCAGTGTGCGGAGTTCAACAGCAAACGATTCAGAGGATGGAATTACAAGTGGAAACCATACACTCAAGTGGAAGGTGAACCTCAGTTATAATGATTTTGTCTAAGAAACAAGTACTTCTAGTTAATAGGCTAAGAATATAACTCTTGCTAATTTTTTTCTCAAAGGAAGCAGCAACTAATTAGAGTAATTTTCTTCCATCAGTAGGAAAGTCTTCAAAAATGGGACAGTTTTCAAAGATTTATTCTACAGGGTTGCTTTGCATAGCATTTCTGCGCCAAAAAAAATTCTATGCAAAAATATCCACAGAAAATAGTGTTTCCTCCATACAAAATACTGCATACATGTAAATTTTGGACATCTTGAACAGCAAATACTGTCATAAATTCATACTCTTCACATCAGTGTTTCCTGAAACACAAGAAACATTGTTTTTGATAATTATTCAAATAAAATCAAATATTATTTCCATCCCTAAGAAAGAGTGCATGACGTCAGAACTGAAATGAAAATATTTCAGCGTATTTCCAGGAGCATTGTATTCAGTGGCACAGAATTATGAAATCTCACAAAGAACTATTAAATTTCACATTGAAATCAGTAGAATGTTTTATATTTGGGTTGTGTTGTTAAACCTAAATTCAACCATTAGCCTCCACTAAAGTAGTGGCCAACTGCATGGAGGGGGCAGTTTTCACCAAAGATAGGTTGGAATGAAGGATTTATCATTATTTTTAAAGTTGTTGTTTACTGCTGTTGTGTTGAGGCCTTGGCCTTTGTAAGCCGCATCGAGTCCTTCGGGAGATGCTAGTGGGGTACAAATAAAGTTTAATAATAATAATAATAATAATAATAATAATTAAAGTAGATATTTTCTGCACAAATGGAGGAGAAATCAACCCATGTACTTTGTTCTCTTTTCATTTTAGATCAAGATTTATGCAAGCTCTACTGTATTGCCGAAGGATTTGATTTCTTCTTTTCCCTGTCCAACAAAGTGAAAGATGGGACCCCATGTTCAGAAGATGGCCCCAATGTTTGTGTAGATGGGATTTGTGAGGTAATGATGAAATAAGGTACTTTGTTTTGCTATTAACTTGCATTTACCATCTTTATTTCATAATGATGGCATAATGTGATTATCTGTCTGCTTACCATAATGTTTCTCAAGGGACACGGATAAAATGTTACATATTGCAAGAACAGTATGGCTCCTGCCAAAAACATGATTGGCAGTCTCAGTTTCCTTTTCCCTATACCCGGGCAATGTCTTGTAATACAAAACCACACTATGAATATCCCAGAAATGTTCAGCCAGTACAGTGAAGTGGCAGCAGGGGAACTCCTAGCATGGTGACATCATGAGACACATTTATATTACTAGATATTGTCTAAGAATAGAGGAGGAGGAGGAAGAAATCATTTACTATTTTGATGACAACCGTGGGCTCCCCAAAACTATTAATTCTCTTCTCAAATGGTTATGACTTAATAGTTTGAATTGTTCTTAGCAGTAAGTCAATCAATGAGCCCTGAAATCTTCATTTAGACCACATAATTTGTGATGCAGGGGGACTATCTGTGTTATTATTTTATGTGCCTAACAGCCTATCCTGTATGCATATATAGTGTGTGTATGAGGGGGAGTTCTATTTTACACAGTAAAACTGAAATTGGGCTGAAAATAACAGAAAATAAATGAAGGGAAACAATGGTGCACAGGGAACAGGGATCCTAATAGAATCATATAACAGTACAGATGTCAACTATCCATGCTTTAAACTGTCTGAAGACTGTCTGAAGACTGTCTAAACTGTCTGCAAACCCCACCTCCTTCAAGATGAACTGAACCACCTCAACTGGGCTCTACAGGCCAATGGATACGCCACCTCAGACATCAGAAGAGCTGCAAGACCGAGAACAAACCACGAGAGTCAAGACAAATATCCACCCAGAGGAAAAGTGTTCTTGCCATACATCAAGGGAACCACTGACCGCATAGGGAAGCTGATGAGGAAACACAACACACAAACTATCTACAGACCCACCAAGAAAATCCAACAAATGCTTCGTTCAGCAAAGGACAAGAGGGATCCTCTCACTCTGCAGGAGTCTACTGGATACCATGCAGCTGTGGACAAGTCTACATAGGGACCACCAAACGCAGCATTGCCCAAACACGAATCAAGGAACATGAAAGGCACTGCAGACTACTTCAAACAGAGAAATCAGCCATAGCAGAGCACCTGATGAACCAACCTGGACACAGCATTTTATTTGAGAACACAGAAATGCTGGACCACTCTCACAACCACCATGTCAGACTACACAGAGAAGCCATTGAAATACACAAGCATGTGGACAATTTCAACAGAAAGGAAGAAACCATGAAAATGAACAAAATCTGGCTACCAGTATTAAAAAAACTCTAAAATTACAACAGCACAACAACAGAGAGGAAACAAACAAGGACATCTAATCACCTCTCAACAAAAGTTTGCTCTAGGCACTGTCAAGCCATTATATGCTAATCAAGGTGGTCAGTTGAAACATTCACACCTTGCTCCAGCAGACAAGAGTCCTTTGTCTCACCCTGGTCATTCCACAGATATATAAACCCTTTTTCCTAGTTCCAACAGACCTCACTACCTCTGAGGATGCTTGCCATAGATGCAGGCGAAACGTCAGGAGAGAATACCTCTAGACCATGGCCATATAGCCCAAAATAACTACAACAACCCTGTGATTCCGGCCATAAAAGCCTTCGACAATACATGTCTGAAGACATCTTGCCAAGAAAACCCTAGGATAGGATGACTGAAAGTTGGAGTTGACTTGAAGGCATATATAACAATAATCAAGATCTTGAAATTACCTGCTGCTCATTCCGGTTTTTCTTTGCTTTTCCTTCAAGAGGACCTACAGGGGAATAAAGAGCCACAGATAGTATGAGAAAGTGGAGGGTGCCCAGTAAAGGAAAGCAGAACATGGTTGTATTTGGATTTTACTCCAATCGCCACAATTTCAAATGTACAGCAATAATACATTGACAAGCAAAACGTGCATTGGTTGTACGTTTCCATTCTTTTGGTCACAAAAAGAAAGTAGGTAAGAAAATGTGAAGTTTTTCCGGTAATGTGGGGATTGAATTCTCATTGTCACCTAAATTTAGACACACGAATGTGGCTCTTGTTTTGCAGGTAGTTGGCTGTGATCAGGTATTAGGTTCCAGTGCTGTAGAAGATGCGTGTGGAGTGTGCAAAGGAGACAATACAACTTGTAGAATCTATAAGGGACAGTTCACTAAACACCACCTTACAAATCGTAAGTAGTCTTTAAATGGCATAAATATTGGGTTGTTGTATTGTAGGTTTTTTCGGGCGATATGGCCATGTTCTAGATGCATTATCTCCCTACGTTTCACCTGCATCTATGGCAAGCATCCTCAGAGGTAGTGAGGGTGCTTGCCATAGATGCAGGTGAAACATCAGGAGGGAATGCATCTAAATCTCACTACCTCTATTTTTTCCCAAACTTCCCAGTGTTCACATTTGGACATATTGAGTATCCGTGCCAAGTTTGGTCCAGATCCATCAGTGTTTGAGTCCACAGTGCTCTCTGGATGTAGGTGTACTGCAACTCCCAAACTCAAAGTCAGTGTCCAGCCAAACCCTTCCAATGTTTTCTGTTGGTCATGGGAGTTCTGTGTGCCAAGATTGGTTCAATTCCATTGTTGTTGGAGTTCTGAATGCTCTTTGATTGTAGGTGAGCTATAAATATTAGCAACTACAACTCCCAAATGACAAAATAAATCCCCCCAACCCCACTAGTATTCAAATTTGGATGTATTGGGTATTTCTGCCAAATTTGGTACAGTGAATGAAAATGCATCCTGCATATCAGATATTTACATTTATGATTCATAACAGTAACAAAATTACAGTTGTGAAATAGCAACAAAATAATTTTGTGGTTGGGGGTCACCACAACATGAAAAACTGTATCAAGGGATCGCGGCATTAGGAAAGTTGAGAAACACTGTTCTAAAGCTTAATATATTCAGGACCATGTCTACACTTGCCTATGTTAGATGAATTAAACTGATACAGCCCATGAGTGTCCCCAGAGTCCTATGGCCATCCACAAAGCCAACCAGGCCAAGAGAGCATTGCGACCATTGTCATTACGTTGCTGATGACAAGCAGCTCCCTGCCAGAGGCTTGCTGGCAATGTCACATTTCTGGTAACATGGCTTTGCAACCTGGTGTGGCCTAACCAGAAGTGGCATTGCCAGCAAGCCTCGCACAGGGAACTGCTTATAGCCAATAATGTAGTGGTGTGTCCATTGGAAGTGTGGACAATGGATCAGCCTGCATTTAACCCAGTCCAGCTGTTCACATCTTTGAAACTCTGAGAAATGAAGTTAAATGAGTCAGAAAAAGCACAATAAACTATAGGGCATAGCTCTGACAAGTAATATAAAGCTATGGTTAGGCTTCCCCAGCTTCCAAACCCTTTTGTACTCTCATACTTGGTGCTCAAACTTAGACTTGAGGAGAATGCTGATCTGTGATTGAGAGGCATCCCAAACTTTTAAAAGGGACAAGACTTCCACAAATATAAATTTGATTCCATACAATCTGAGAATAAGAAAGATATAAAAGGCTTGAGGACACCATTGAGATTAGTAAGAAAATTCTAGCATGAGCTTTTATTGACCCTGTTTGTTTATTATTATTTCGAGCTTTTATAACCCAGTCTTCTCAACCTCCGAAGAGGGACTCAGGCCGGCTAACAGCATAGGATTAAAATACAATAAGATAAACCACAGTAAACATCATAATACAATAGTACAAAAATACATTAAAATACAATTATACAACTTACAAAAGGTCAGTTTGTCAGAATAAATCATAAATTCATCACCATCCGCCCATGTGGTCAGCAGTTATTGACTCAGTCATCATTCTGCAAATGCAGTATTCCAAAGCCATGTTTTTACTTTCTAAAAGTGAGGAGGGAAGGGGCAGATTTAGATGGAGATTAGTCTCCATCGGGAGGGAGTTCCAGAGCCGAGGGGCCACCACCGAGAAGGCCCTGTCCCTCGCCCCCACCAATCGCGATTGTGAAAGAGGAGGGACCGAGAGCAGGGCCCCTCCAGAAGATCTTAATAACCTTCATGGTTCATAGGGGAGAACCCGTTCGGACAGGTAAATTGGGCCGGAGTCGTTTAGGGCTTTATAGGTCAACACCAGCACTTTGAATTGTGCTCGGGAACTGATTGGCAGCCAGTGGAGCTGACGCAACAGAGGAGTAGTATGCTCCCTGTACCTCGCTCCTGTTAGTAGTCTGGCTGCCGCTGGTTGGACTAGTTGTAGCTTCCGGGCAGTCTTCAAAGGCAACCCCACATAGAGAGCGTTGCAATAGTCTATACGGGATGTAACCAGAGTGTGGACCACTGTGGCCAGATCAGACTTCCCAAGGTACGGGTGGTCAGGGGAGCTTTTAATTGGTGGTGGTCAGGGGAGCTTTTAATTGTGCAAAAGCTCCTCTGACCACTGCCGAGACCTGGGATTCCAGGTTCAGCGATGAGTCCAGAATCACTCCCAACCTGCGAACCTGCGCCTTCAGGGGGAGTGTAACCCCGTGCAACACAGGCTGTAACCCTATGCCCTGTTCGGCCTTGCGACTGACCAGGAGTACCTCTGTCTTGTCTGGATTCAATTTAAATTTGTTCACCCTCATCCAGACCGTTACAGCGGCCATAGAATCTGAGAATAAAGATATAAAAGACTTGAGGACACCATTGAGATTAGTAAGAAAATTCTAGCATGAGCTTTTATTGATCCTGTTGACTTCATCAGGTTGAGAATAAAATTGTCATCTAAAGATTTTCAACCTGTTCCTAACTTTCCCAACCTAGCACTTTCCATACAACAACTCTCATTGCTCCACAGCCAGAGATGTAGCCCATTTGGAGAGTTCCAGTTTGGAGAACCCTGTTCTGTTCTCTGGAGAGCCACCAACTATGATATTTAAAAGAACACACAAATCATTTTCACAATTGGCCCTGTAACCATGTGGGTAACTTTAGTAAGAATCTGACCATAACAGAATCCATACAATTTTCCAGTGTTCTCGGTGTGATCATACTTTATTTTCCTTTTCCGATTTCCATTCTCACACCTACACAGTTTTTAGGCTCTAAAGGGAAAAAAGAAATCTGGCTTATTACATGGTGGTCAAGGACTGTAGTAACACAAACAGGGAGGGAAATGGAGTTATTGGGCTGGAAGACAAACCTCTGTGGTGTTGTGAGTGGGAGGACGAGGAGAATGATGAGGGGGTAAAGTAAGCTCAAGGGTGGGACAGGAGAAGTGAAAGAGGGGAGCAGAGGGACACAAAGGAGCATGTCAACCACTGAGGTAATGTTGATGGTTAAGAGAATGCTGCTGCCCACACTCCTACCCTTTGTATCACCCCAGTATCCATAACGTCAGAAGAAATAGCATATTCCTGAGGTCTTCCCTCCTGAAACTGGAACTGATTATTGAGATGAACAAAAGTAATCAAAACGTGCTGTGAAGTACAGCTGCAAAGTATGTGGTTTTAGCTTCTCAGTAAATAAGTCTTCATAAAAATAGGAACAAAACCTCTAACATTTTACAATTTTCCACTTGATGTAAAGCTGAGCTTAGAGATTGGAAGTGAACCATGAGATTGTATCAATCATCTCATTCCATTGTTTTTCTGGATTGGGATAATCTGCACTGGACTATAGTATGTTCACAGCTCCAGTCCATTCTTTTGTAAGGTTAGATTACTGTAATAGAAAAGACACTAAAATTGACTTAGGAAGGGGGATAAAAGGAACTGGTTCCACTGCAGAGTTCCAACACAAATACCCAGTAACTGGTTTGAAGTTGGGACAGTGGCCATAATATGAGCTGGTTGTCAATTGTATGGAACCCAGGAATGCTTGGGTTTTTATCCAGTCTTCTGAGATGTGCTGATGTGCATCACCACGTCCATTCAGGATGGCAAGGGGCAAGAAATGAGAACAAAGGGGTGGAAAGAGAGAGTCCCCATTGAAATTATCCAAGGTTCCTTCCTTAGACAATACTTATTTGCCTTCCAGCCAACTGTATTTTAAAGTACTAGCAGTGTCCGACTCCCGGAAGTCCTAGACCAGTGGTTCTCAACCTGTGGGTCCCCAGATGTTTTGGCCTTCAATTCCCGGAAATCCTAACAGCTGGTAAATTGGCAGGGATTTCTGGGAGTTGTAGGCCAAAACACCTGGGGACCCACAGGTTGAGAACCACTGCCCTAGACAGCTTGTCCTATGGCCAGGAATTATGGGAGCTAAAGTCCAAAACACTTGTAAGGCCACACATTTGACACCACTACACCAAAAGCTACTGGCCTATACACAGTGACCTACCTATAAGTCTTGTTAGTAGGGCATACTTCTAAGTAAAATATGCATAAAATTGCATTGTAATAGAGGTTCTTTGATACAGCAGGATTCCTTCCTGTTTTAGGTCAAACTGGGACACAATCTTGGTGTGTTAATTTCCTGTCTTTCCAATTATGTTTTTGGCCCTTTCTTTTATACTGAACAGTGTGTCTTTTTCTCCATCTAGAGTACTACTCATTAGTCACCATCCCTGCAGGAGCACGAAGGATTCGTGTATATGAAATGAACATCTCCCATTCCTATCTTGCTGTTCGTGGTTCTAATAAAAAATATCATCTCAATGGATACTGGACTGTCGACTGGCCAGGGAGATACAGTTTTGCTGGAACAATATTTGACTATCGAAGACCGCATAATGAACCAGAGACACTAAGTGCTTCTGGACCAACAAATGAAAGCCTTGTAATTGAGGTATGTTGCTTTATAATGAAATAAAGCTTTCAATGTACATGTAATTGTATTATTCCATTCTAACACTCATGCTTATGAGCTAGCTAAGTGTTGTGAGAGGAATGGACGCCTGTAGAAGAAATAAAAGCCGAATGGTGTCCTGTGCCCTCCTGCACGTGCATTCCACTTCCAAACTTACTACTAAAAATGCAACCTGATTGAGAGGAGAGATTCAATTTTCTAAGCCCAGTGTCTTTGATTAGTGACTTAATGGCATTAAAACACAATGCAAAATTATGAGCACCATCATATAAATCATGTGCACAACCATATAGGTATCAGCCAATCAGATTGACTGAGCAAGTAAAGCTGAAGCATGAAAAATAAGAAAAAAATCAGTGCAGAAAATTAAATTTCTCGCAATGATATTGTTTTCTGTGCATAAAATTCTGTTTACTTTGTAGAAAATTATGTTTTCTATGCAAACATACTAAATATTAATTTTATGCTGATGGAATCTTCAATCCTCTTCAAAAACTGTAGTTTTCCAACATTTTATCGATATATGAAAACACTGAACATTACTCATTGCGTCCTTTGAGAACAAAATTAGGAAACAGTTACGCCCATACAACTGAGGCAAGAAGAAACTACAGTCAAGAAAATAAAGAGTATTTCACCAGAGCAAAGCTAAAATTATTACAATGGTGTTTTTTTCCTTTAAAAACTTGAGATCTTTCTTTTCCTCCTAGAAAAAGGCCATTTCATAGATATTTCTCCTCCAAATATTCTGCATCTTTTCTTAAACGGGCATCCCTTATTCAAAATGTGTGGGACCAAAAATGTTTCAAATTTCAGGGTTTTTTTTTCACATTTTAGAATACATGTATTTGTATATACTTACATAGGGAGATATCTTGAAGGTGGGGTCGAGGTCTTAACACAAAATTCATCTACACTTCATATATACTTTTTAACAATAGCCTGAAGGTAATTTTATGCAATATTTTAAATACTTTTGTGCAAGGAACAAAGTATGTGTACTCTAAACCACCAGCAAACAAAAGTGTCGTTCTTTTAGCCAACCATGTGGACAATTTTGGGATTTTATAGTATTTTTAGTTTTAAAATTCTAGATAAGGGATGCCCAACCACATCCTAAAATAATGCTAAATTCAGAATGTTTATAGAGGATAGGTAGGAATATTTTAAATCTAGAGACTGAATTCCAACTGTGGGTGACTCTGAGATCAAAGGCTGGTTAAAACAAAGAAACGATTATAATTAGTTAACAATTTGGAAAATTTCCCAAAAATTGTATGAGGTACCACTCTGTTTTATATACTTCTACCCCAGAACAAGCCCCTGTAAAATATTCTTTTTACCTGCAAACTTGTTGTTGTTCATTCGTTCAGTCGTTTCGGACTCTTCATGACCTCATGGACCGGCCCACGCCAGAGTTCCCTGTCAGCCGTCACCACTCCCAGCTCCTTCAAGGTCAGTCCAGTCATTTCAAGGATGCCATCCATCCATCTTGCCCTTGATCGGCCCCTCTTCCTTTTACCTTCTACTTTCCCCAGCATAATTGTCTTCTCTAGGCTTTGCTGTCTCCTCATGATGTGGCCAAAGTACTTCAACTTTGTCTCTAGTATCCTTCCCTCCAATGAGCAGCCGGGCTTTATTTCCTGGAGGATGGACTGGTTGGATCTTCTTGCAGTCCAAGGCACTCTCAGAACTTTCCTCCAACACCACAGCTCAAAAGCATCTACAAACTACAGCAGGATATTAACATTTTTAATCCTTACTATCTTTGAGTAAAAAAATCTTGTGATCTTTTAGTTGAAAAATTCCCATGATTCACATCCAGTCTGTGGCCTAAGCCTAACTCATTCAAGACATGGAGAGAATACAAGTAGCCAGCACTGTTACTGTAGAAGAAAATGGCAATTAATGATGCCCATTTGTTAGAGTTTGTTTCAAAAAGGTAGAAAATCCCTAAAGAAAGAAAAAAGGAGATTAAGCTGACAGCATATTGTTGGCTTGGAGTTGAATATTATGCACAGATCAAAACGGTCAAAATTTCTCAACTCATGTTGCTACAGGGCTTGGAAAATTGTGTTTTATAGCAAAAGAATGCATATTCTCGGCACATATTTTATTCCTGTAAAAATTGTTTAAGTGGATTTGTTACCTTTTTAGAAATAAACTCCACATTTGGGGATCTGTTGAAAATGTCCTTCTCAGTCTGGAGAAATTTGCAACCTTATCAAACTTGCTGCTGGAATCAACATGGATCGTTGCAGTTTGGGCGTTGCCCATTTGGCAGCATGGGGAACCCATCACCCAAGTCCTGTATCATCTTACTCTCTGGTTGTCCCATCCTAAGGGGGGAAGCATTGGTTGCTTGGCTTCCCCTTGTTGATCTCAATGGAACACGAGAGTCTTCCCATGTTGCTGCCATGGCAGCATATCCCGGTTGAACTTCTCTTTTGTGATGGATCCCCACCAGAAGTAGTTTGGCATTATGAAATGGGGGATGACAGTCTCCTTTGCAAAAGAGAAAATCAACCAGTGTATGCCACCGATCTGGACCTCATCTGATGAGGTTGTTGATGCTTGTTTATAGAGCTATTGTCCTCCCAACCCTGCTATATGCCTGTGAGACGTGGACTGTCTACAGACGTCACATGCAACTCCTGGAACGATCCCATCAGCGCTGCCTCCGGAAAATCCTGCAAATATTCCCAACCCTGCTATATGCCTGTGAGACGTGAACTGCAACTCCTGGAACGATTCCATCAGCGCTGCCTCCGGAAAATCCTGCAAATCTCTTGGGAAGACAGGCGGACAAATGTCAGCATGCTGGAAGAAGCAAAGACCACCAGCATTGAAGCGATGGTCCTCCGCCATCAACTCCGCTGGACCGGCCACGTTGTCCGGATGCCTGACCACCGTCTCCCAAAGCAGTTGCTCTACTCCGAACTCAAGAACGGAAACCGGAATGTTGGTGGGCAGGAAAAGAGATTTAAAGATGGGCTCAAAGCCAACCTTAAAAATCTGGCATAGACACTGAGAAGTGGGAAGCCCTGGCCCTTGAGCGCTCCAGCTGGAGGTCAGCTGTGACCAGCAGTGCTGCAGAATTTGAAGAGGCACGAATGGAGGGCGAAAGAGAAGCGTGCCAAGAGGAAGGCACGTCAAGCCAACCCCGACCAAGACCGCCTTCCACCTGGAAACCAATGCCCTCACTGCGGAAGAAGATGCAGAGCAAGAATAGGGCTCCACAGCCACATCGGGACCCACAAGAATACTGGAAGACAATCCTCCTCAGAAAACGAGGGATCGCCTAAACAAACAAGTTGATGAAAAGGTCTTCCCTATTTCTCTGCCAACAAATATAATGGAGCATTTTAGAACAGAGTTTTTCTGGGCACTTTGAGAACAATCCAAATGCAACAAATATTTTGTTAGATGACTTCTTCAGATGGACAGAATTATGGGGGCAGATATCATTCCGGCTGAGCTAATTGGATATTCAATATACCTCTATAAACTGAGGGACCATAATAGCAGGGGGGAGGAACATTTTTCTGATCCCCTTACGAGCCACACACAAAATTGTGAGTAGAGACATCCTGTTCCAATGAAATCAGATATTTAAAGGAAGAAACAGGCAAAGGTACATAGATTTAGCTCAAGCTGTTCAATAATTCCTTACTATTCAATTTTCCAAATAGAGGTGTTAGATTATTTAAACCTGCTGCATATCCAACACTTTCTAGGGAATTTAATGTGAGTAGCAAGGGAACTAGCATGCAAATAGTTTGTAACAAGATCTTATAGTTGTTAATACTGCAGCTCATGTGATTGTGTTAAAGGATGCTGGCACCATTTTCACCCACATCACATAGTGATCTAAACTTGGCCCCATTGCTGTGGGAATAAAAATGTTGGTCCCAGCTTATGTTATGTTGGTGAAGTGAAGGCAGGAGTGAACTGTAGCTAGAATAAACCAATATTCAGTTTGTTTGGGCCTGTGAGGCCCCTTCCATTCTAAATATTTTCAGGGTCAGGAGCCTTGGTGGGACAAGTGGCAGATTTCAGGGCCCTTCCACACAGCTGAATAAAATCCCTCATTTTCTGCTTTGAACTGGAATATATGGCAGGGTGGATTCAGATAACTCAGTTCAAAGCAGATATTGTGGGATTTTCCGCCTTGATATTCTGGGTTATATGGCTGTGTGGAAGGGTCCTTAGTTCTATGGATATTGCAGCTTTCATAAAAGTTAAGGACTTCCTGACTTGTGACTGGGAATGAGTGTAAGCCAATATTTTGACTGGTATCCCAACATTTCCTCCTTTGCTGTGAGCCGGATGGCAGTGCTGAGTCTGATTGTTTGCAGCTTGGGAGTGATCCTGGATTCATCGCTGAGCCTGGAACCCCAGGTCTTGGTGGTGGCCGGGAGAGCTTTTGCACAATTAAAACTTGTGCGCCAGCTGCGCCCGTACCTTGGAAGTCGGATCTGGCCATGGTGGTCCACGCTCTTGTTACATCCCGATTGGATTACTGCAACGCACTCTACGTGGGGTTGCCTTTGAAGACTGCTCGGAAACTCCAACTAGTCCAGCGGGAGGCAGCCAGATTGCTCACCGGAGCGGCATACAGGGAGCATACCACCCCCCTGTTGTGTCAGCTCCACTGGCTGCCGATCCAATTCAAGCACAATTCAAAGTGCTGGTTTTGACCTACAAAACCCTATACAGTTCCAGCCCAGTGTATCTGTCCGAACGGATCTCCCTCTACATCCTACCTCGGAGTTTAAGATCTTCTGGGGAGGCCCTGCTCTCGACCCCACCTCTATCACAAGTGAGGTTAGCGGGGACGAGGAGCAGGGCCTTCTCGGTAGTGGCCCCTCACCTGTGGAACTCACTCCCCAGGAGATTAGATCAGCGACTTCCCTTTTTTCATTCAGAAAAAAATTGAAGACCTGGATGTGGGACCAGGCTTTTGGACATTCTGGCAGCTAAAGGAAAGACCTTGATGATGGGCAGGAACTGACGGAACGGAATGGATTTATGGAACTCTGAACACTGAGCATGAGATTGTTTACTATTGTGTTATCTACTGAAGATTTTAACCTGTTAACTGTTTAACTGTTTAATTGCTTTTATGTATGTATGTATATTTGACATAGGCATCGAATTGTGCCTTTTTTGTAAGCCGCCCTGAGTCCCCCCCCCCCGGGGGTGAGAAGGGCGGGGTAGAAGTAACTGAAATAAATAAATAATAAATAATGTTATGTCTATTATATGTATAAGCAAATATAAGTCCACTGAAGATATAGAGCAGTGGTTCCCAACCTGTGGGTCCCCAGATGTGTTGGTCTTCGACTCCCAGAAATTCTAAGAGCGGGTAAACTGGCTGGGATTTCTGGGAGTTGTAGGCCAAAACACCTGGGGGCCCACAGATTGCGAACCACTGGTATAAACGGACTAAATATGATTTATACATTGTATTGCTTTTGTTTCTACAGAATCCTCTAAATTACCTCCCCTCCTCGCCCCATCTTTCTTTTGAGAATCCCTCTCACTATACTCTTGCTGTCGTTTTCAATTCTTTTTTTGAGATTCCTCCATCATAACCTGAGAATTTATTGATGATATGCTGATAAGTATATTCCTCCTTGTTTTCTTTCCCAGCTTCTTTCCCAAGGTAAAAACCTAGGAATTGCTTGGGAATATTCCCTTCCAAAGGCAGAACATGAAAGAATGACAGCCTTGAAACATAACTATACATGGACCACAATCCATTCCAAATGCTCAGTCTCATGTGGAGTAGGTAATGTATCTCTGAAATGTTTAAAGATACAATGTTATTGCAGACCACAGACTCTTTCCTGTCCAGGAATAGCCTTCACAAGAAAACTCCAGGCACCTCAGAAGTGTAATCTCTAGGAATAGAAAGATTCTTTATGGGTATATAATTAGACTATCTCCTAAAAGTTATGTCAGTTTGCCTGCATAAAGGAGCCTTAGTTTGCCATGTTGATCTACACAGTGCAAAGAAACATATTTCCTCACTTAACAAATTAGAAAATATATCAATGAATCGTATTTATATACCATCATTCCCCAACTTAGAAATTTCCTGTTCTTTTGATAATACTTAATGATAATGATACGAATTATCATCCAATAGGTTTAAAAGCCATCAATTTGGAAGAGGCTGATTTAAGATATTTCAACATGCCATTCTGAAGAATAATATTAGCTGGCAAACAGAAAGTTGAAAAAGAAGAAGGAATTTATTAGAAAGGGTATATCATTATCTACTAAAGCCTTTTTATTCAGGCTTTAAAGAATAAGGTTTTTAAGATCAGGTCAGAGGGTACAGAAATATTTTAAAACACATTCAAATACTTTTAAAAACAAAGAGCAGTCTAACAATAATTCTAGAATGCAGTTGTGAAAAAGTTAAAACAGCAATTTTTTAAAAATATGTTTTTTATTGCCAACAGAAGTAGAATGATATCACAATCCATCACCATTTCCGAATACATATCAAATATTGTTTTCATAGTGTTCTTATCCTTATGTATTAGGCCTGGGTAACAACGGAAAAATTTGTTTCTAAAATCGATTCGTTTTTTGGGGGGTTTGCGTTTCGTTATTTAAAATAATTACAAAATTTTCCTTTAAAAAGTTCGATATTTACGAAATTTCGTAAATGGTAAAAAAATTACAAAACAATAACGAAACAATAACGAATCGATTCGTTAATGGCGGCCGCGATCGCGCAATATGCTAAAAAAACTTCTGAAGCTTTCCTCTCCCTCTGTTGTTGAGTGTTGGTGTGATATTATAATTTTTTTTTCACTAATTAAACAAAAAACAACTATAAAACTTGCCCCAGACATGCGGAAATAATAACGAAACGACCTCAAACCAATAACGAAACGAATACATAACGAAATACGAAGCATTTACAAAACGTATTTAAAAATTCGTTTCGTTTTTAAGTTGCTCCAGAATGGTTCGTTATCGCTTCGTTATTAAAAAAATTAACGAATTTTTAACGAATTACGAATTAACGAAACGAAACTGCCCAGCCCTATTATGTATTATCTCCCACTTGTGTCTATCGATTTTACACCCCTCTCCTCTCCCCCCACCCTCACCCTCTGGGAACAGTACTTGTCTTCATTCGAATAGTATTTTAATTGAACAATTGTTGAAAGAGAATGGTTCAGCTCTTTATATCTTTCTTTTCCTTCAACTTTTTCTATCAGTCTTCCCCATATCTGAACCCAGGTCTTCTTGATTCGGCATGATGTATATTTAGCTCTTCTTTCAAAGATGTAGGTCTGAAGCATAAAATCTGCTAGGTAGCCATACCATTTTTTAACTTCCCACTTTCTATGGTTTTCTACCCCAAGGCCACAGTTGCTTGGGCAGCAACTATCATGTGTTTTATAATTTTCCCCCCCAAGCTTTGATGTTTTCGTTCTTGTCTAATTTCTGGGTGAAAAAATCTTTTTTTATTCAAATACAATTAATGCCTTATTGATTCTTCAATTTCCTTCTTTACATAATTATAAAAATCTTGTACGCTGTCGCATTCTCACCAAATAAGTATATAGGAGCCAATTTTTCCACATCTGTGCCAACACAATTTTGTGGTTGTTTTAGTTATGTGTGCTAGTTTAATTGAGGTTCTGTAGCAATTTAAAACACTGGGTGGTTCTGGACAGGCACATAAAGCCGCACAAAACCAGCATGAAAAATGCAGTTGCAACTTATTTTTGTTTTGGTGAGCTTTTGAAGGCTTGATCTTCAACTGGAATAGAATCATAGAATCAAAGAGTTGGAAGAGACCTCATGGGCCATCCAGTCCAACCCCCTGCCAAGAAGCAGGAATATTGCATTCAAAGCACCCCTGACAGATGGCCATCCAGCCTCTGTTTAAAAGCTTCTAAAGAAGGAGCCTCCACCACACTCCGGGGCAGAGAGTTCCACTGCTGAACAGCTCTCACAGTCAGGAAGTTCTTCCTCTGTTTCAGATGGAATCTCCTCTCTTGTAGTTTGAAGCCATTTTTCTGAGTCCTAGTCTGCAAGGAAGCAGAAAACAAGCTTGCTCTATCCTCCCTGGCTTCCTCTCACATATTTATACATGGCTATCATATCTCCTCTCAGCCTTCTCTTCTTCAGGCTAAACATGCCCAGCTCCTTAAGCCGCTCCTCATAGGGCTTGTTCTCCAGACCCTTGATCCTTTTAGTCGCCCTCCTCTGGACACATTCCAGCTTGTCAATATCTCTCTTGAATTGTGGTGCCCAGAATTGGACACAATATTCCAGGTGTGGTCTAACCAAAGCGGCATAGAGGGGTAGCATGACTTCCCTAGATCTAGACACTATGCTTCTATTGATGCAGGCCAAAACCCCATTGGCTTTTTTTGCCGCCACATCACATTGTTGGCTCATGTTTAACTTGTTGTCCATAATGTGCTATATTGTTTTTTTATTATTTTCTTTTTAAGGATATGTTTTACTGTCTGTAATTTATAGATATTTTAATTTCATTTTCAACTTTTGTATCAGTGAATTTTTTTAGCTATGTTTGTTTTAATTGTTGTGAATCATCTTGAGTCCTGGATGATGATGATGATCATTGTTGTTGTCCAGGAGCCCCCAGTGGCGCAGTGGGTTAAACCCCTGTGCTGGCAGGACTGAAGACCGCAGGTTCAAATCCGGGGAGAGGGATGAGCTCCCTCTATCAGCTTCAGCTCCTCATGCGGGACATGAGAGAAGCCTCCCACAAGGATGATAAAACATCAAAACATTTGGGTGTCCCCTGGGCAGACGGCCAATTCTCTCACACCAGAAGTGACTTTTGACACGACAAAAAAAAAACTACAACCAATTAAAGGCTTAAAGTCAGTTTAAGTAGGAAGATCTTTGCTAGCCAGTGGAAAGAGAACATGGGCTAATAAAACCTCATTTTGGAGGACCACCACCTGAAAGCAAACTTGGGCCCTGCAGGTGTTTTGGACTTCAGCTCCCAAAATTCCTAACAGCCTACCAACTGTTAGGAATTGTGGGAGTTAAAGTACAAAACACCTGGAGGGTCCAAGTTTACCCATGCCTGATCTAGATGACGACAATGACGACGATATTTTTTTTTTGTCGTGTCAGGAGCAAGTCGCTTCTGGTGTGAGAGAATTGGCCAGGGGACATGAGAGAAGCCTCCCACAAGGATGATAAAAACATCAAAAATAATCCAGGCGTCCCCTGGGCAATGTCCTTGCAGACGGCCAATTCTCTCACACCAGAAGCAACTTGCTCCTGACACGACAAAAAAAAAATATCGTCGTCATTGTCGTCATCTAGATCAGGCATGGGTAAACTTGGACCCTCCAGGTGTTTTGTACTTTAACTCCCACAATTCCTAACTGTTGGTAGGCTGTTAGGAATTTTGGGAGCTGAAGTCCAAAACACCTGCAGGGCCCAAGTTTGCCCATGTCTGATCTAGATGGTCAAAATGGGCCATTGGGTTCTAGTTTTCTACCTTGCTCTATGGCAGCCCTCATGCCCATCTATTCAAACCATCATCAGATCAATACACTCTCAGTTGTTGTCTGAGAAGAGGCCAATATCAAGACTTGACCAATAACAAAAGGTGAATTGTAAGACACCAAAATCTGCACTTGACTTGATTTTGGACTTTTGCCTGTTGGGCAATAATCCCTTGCTGCTTCTTTTCACTGAACATTTGCCACCTGGTTTAAAAGAATACCACACAGGAGTAAGCAAAGTTGGTATCATGGAGAGGGGAGGCAAAGGTCAAGGTGGCTATCATCCTTCAAAAGCTGCCACTGGTCCTTGCTCAACACCTTTCATACAAATACTTTTATCTTTGATCTGATATTGCAACACTTGTCATCCTGTAGCACTGTTTTTTAACTGAGCACTTGTTTCCCATGAAATATCTTTTCCTTTCATGTCGTTGGCCTTTTATTTACCTTTGTGTGTGTTAAAGTCACCTGCTGCTGCTTTTCATGAGAGTAGTATAGATACAACCTGTTTGCCAGATGTTTCTTTCTGAACGAAGATTCCACAAGTCTCTTCATTGTTTAGTCTTTGGAGGTAGGAATTAAGCTTAAAAAAATCTCCTTGTGTCAGAAAACTGTGTCTTCTGCTGCTCAGTTCTGTCCTTTTTCTTTCTGGATCAATACCAGTGCTTTCGGTAAGTTAGCAAAACTTTCATGAAGGGATACAAATCTAAAAGAAAAAAAATAGCACTATAGATGGAAAGAATATTTTAAAATATTTGAAAAATGGTGGCAAACATGAGTTTAAAGTAAGAATAATCTTGAACAGACTATCCCAAATCTTCTCAATTTGGAACTTTTTATGCACAAAATTCACATATACTTGATTTATTCTAGAAACAGCATCAACTACACAACAAACAGAATTTTCTGCATGGAAAATAGTTCAATATAAAAAAAATCATTCCTGCACAGAAAAAGACTAAATTAAGGATTTCTTTGGAGCCCCCGGTGGCGCAGTGGGTTAAAGCACTGAGCTGCTGAGCTTGTTGATCTAAAGGTTGCAGGTTCAATTCCAGGGAGCGGCGTGAGCTTCCGCTGTCAGCCCTAGCTTCTGCCAACCTAGCAGTTTGAAAACATGCAAATGTGAGTAGATCAATAGGTACCGCTCCGGCGGGAAGGTAACGGTACTCCATGCAGTCATGCCGGCCACATGACCTTGGAGGTGTCTACGGACAACACTGGCTCTTCGGCTTAGCACCACACCCCAGAGTCAGACATGACTGGACTTAATGTCAAGGGACTACCTTTACCTTTACCTTAAGCAGGCATGTAGCCAGGGGCGGGCTCGGGGGGCTTCAGCCCCCCCCCCAAATTCTCATGGTGGTCCGTGCAAAGGCCTTACTGGTGCATTATTTAAACTGTTATGTTTATTCATATCATGATCTGATCACCATGCTCAACATATCCCATATGCATGGGGGTATTGGGGTAATGATACAAAAGGTTTGCTAGGCTAGACCCTCTTTCACTCAGACTCAGCCCCCCCCTGAAACTCAGCCCCCCCGAAACCCCCCCTGAAAAAAAATTCAGCCCCCCCCCCCCCGAAACGAAATCCTGGCTACGGGCCTGACCTTAAGGATTTCTTATGAGTAAATTTATAGGTGGTTGATTTGTAGATGGTTGATTTGTATAGGTAATATTTTTTCCTGAACATTTTCTGGCCAAGAATCCATATATCTGTGTTGAAATGTTCCTGCAGAAAATTCTGTTTCTTGGGTTTGTATGGGGAAAAAAATCATATCTTCAAAAACTGTTGCCAGTAAATAACAACAGCAACAACTGGTTTTCCCCTATATTTCCTCAAAAGTTACTCCAACTTCTAACATGTTGGATTTGACATAACATGATAATAATTGTTGCTATTGTTTTCTATCACATGAGCCTCACCTCCAGCCTGACATAAAAAATGTTAAACATTGTAATTTGGATCCCTCCATAAAAAAACTTAATCAAAACATTCAGTGTGAACTTGGAGGCCTGCCTTATCTGTACAAATAAAAAGACTGCCGTTGCCTCCCCTGACATGCTTTCTCCTCAAGGCAATTCAAAGAATCGTTTCCCTCTGCTGGAACTGCCTGTGTTGCCAATTATCATTTAAGCCTCTGAATGTCTCGTTTGTCATGCTACAGACAGCATGTGATGAGCAGGTCTACAAAATGCATGACCAGCTTGTCTGGAAACCCAGCAAGTCGTATACTGTGTAACTAACAAAAATAGCAACGCTTCTTACATGAACAGTCAGCAAGGCTGATAATAGCTCAGGAGTAAATTGTGGAAAATAATACTTCCATCTCTGGGTGAAAGGTTAAGCCACAAATGGTGCAATTCTTACAGCTAGTATGAAAGGGATTCACATTTTGTTTTCACTGTGTCAAGAGAAAAAAGTCCCTGCCAAAATGTATGAAGTATACTGGAAAATAAATCTGGAGAATGAGAGATTGTGGTATAAAATGAATTTGTATAGGCAGGTTTTCACATGGCTTTCTGTAAATGTGATAGTAGCCACCTTTCCCCCACGTAGATGGCACACATTTGTCAGATAGCCAGTTTCTGTGTGACATATGTTGTCCTAGAATAGTTCACTTGACCCAAAGTAAAACAACCTGTTTTTGAATATAGGCCCAAACAGAAGCCCCCTCTTTTCCTTTTCGATAGTAGCAATCAAAGATGAATTCTGAAATTATAGATTAATAATAGATACCCTCAGAGATTGACCCGGGGAATATTGCTTCCAGCCTCCACTTTCAGACTTCTAGTAGAAAACTTTTCCACCTCCCCTCCACAAACTCTTGCTGCATCATTTTCATGTGACAAGCTTTCTAACAGAGACCTGCAAACGGAGGCAGGCCTTTATGATAAGTTTACATTAAATGGGAGGGAGGGAGAGAGGAGAAGATGACTGTGCCACCCCGCCCTCCAGTGTACTGGAGCCCGAGAAGGAAGAGTGGCTGTGTGATTGGGATAGCAGATGCTTATCCTGACAGTCCACAATTTGGCAAGTATTTTTTTTAACCCGGATTAGCCTGAGGCATTGTTTGGATGCTTCAGGTTAATCTGTTTTCTAGACTGCAATAAAGGGCTATGTGAATGGGGTCTGTACTCCATAAGTATAAGTGTGATTCAAAGATGTATGTCAAGACCCAGAAGCCTTAATGATGCCAAACACATTGTAAAAGGTCCAAACTCAAGTTTATTGGTTACAAAAAGGGCTTGGAGACACTTACTTCAGTGTCCCAAGTAAGAACTAAGAGTTTGTAGCAAACGCAAAGTGAAAAAAAGCAACTTAAATATAATCCGGATTATTCTGGCATATAATCTGGTATAACAGAAACATGTAGCAATCCGCTTGAAATTCACAGTGTCCAAAAAGCATACAAGAACAAGTTGGTAAAGAGCAAAAAAAACAATGTCCAAAGGTAGTCCGTAGTCCAAACATGTTCCAAGCAAGTTGAGTTAGTCCAAAATACGTAGCCGTTGCCAAACACGATCTGGAGTCAAAAACGGGAGAGTAGAAGTTGTCACTTACGGAGTTTCAAGGAAGTAAACACAGGAACACGGAGATCTGTAGTCCAAGGACCCAAACTTGAGAATTGGCAGTAACAAAGAATCACACATGAAAAGACACTTTGCCTTCTGCAAAGAACCCATTGAAACAAAACCCACTTATATCCTAAAGTTCCTCATCAGAAGAGGAGGTGCTCCCCACCCTTTCATCATCGCTCTCAGCTGCCCCATTCCCTGCAGCTGAACCCAGACCCCCATCCCTCCACCTTTGCCAGCGTCTGTCAAGACTTAGATCTTGCCAGGAACTCCCCGGTTGCCACTCTTCTGTAAACCCCTCAAAGTCATCTCTGGAGGTAGGCTGGGTACAGATATCCCTAATCTCCTGTACACGGGTCCAGTCAAGCTCATCCTTGTCCCCCATGTCACTCCCAGTCCCATCACTCCCTTCAAAGCCCATGAAGTCTTCATTCTCTGTAGGAGCGCTAAGTATATCACGGATGCGCTTCCTTTGAATCTCCTCGTCAGATTCTTGTTCACGAGTAGCCTGCTTGACTCCCCTGCTTTCCTCCCCATCCCCCATTTCACAGATGGAGAAACCCTCAAAGGTGTCAGAATCAGTCAAGGCCATGATTATCTCTCTAATCTGCTTTCGCTGCTGCTGCTCCTCCAACACCTGCGCAGCCCTCTTCTCCCTCCTACCAGTAGTAGCAACGTTACCATCACGCTGTACTACAACAATGAGATTCATCCAACATTTTAAAAACTTTTGAGTTTGGAGTCACATGAAATAGATGTACCTGGTTCATGAGATGTGTACATCCCAAGTCTTCCATCATACTTGCCATTATGTGGATTTTTAAAATAATACCATATCACAGTAGATATTTTGGTGACCAGTGCAGAACAGCCTTGGATGAATGCATTGCTAGTTGTTTATTTCTAGAAAATTGATTTCTAGAAAATGGATACCCCAACCTTTCTCAACCCCGAAGGGGACTTAAGGCAGTTTACCCAACTTTTTACTGTAAAACCAGCATTTTTGTGCAAATGATTTTTTGGTGTGTGGCTTTCTAAATCTGGGTAGAAAATGGATGCATTCTCCATTTAATGAGTTCTAAATTCACTTCATTTTTACCCTTAAAAGTTAACAGTGTGCTCAAGAACCTGTGAGCACTTCCTAAAGTGCCACACATAAAAATAATATTCATGCAATCATGTCAAAATTTTCTGTTGAACTGTATTTTTTATTATTCACTTATGTGGTCACTTACAAGGGTGAGAAAGAACATAACAGTGAAAATTGCAGCAAACTTCACTAGCAGTGCATTTTTAAAATGGAAGAATGATGGCTTACTAACAGTACTGCTTCCCAAATAAAATCCAGAATTTTAGCTCCCAAAACCTGGAAATTGGCTAAGGAGATATTTGTAAACATCCCTAAACAGTCTATTCTGAATGAATTCTCATTCCCTTATTTGGATAAGACTTTTCCCTGAAATAGTCTTTGACGTTAGGCCACATAAGTCAGGTGGAGTAAGGGAAACCTACATATGGTGCAAATTCCATTCTCCCCTCCTTACTAAAATCTCTTGGCACATTTGTGAAAATAACTATAATTTAGGTTTACATCTAGGTTTACAATCTTTGGGAAAGAGTTGTGGGTAAGATTAAAAGAGGAGCGATAAAGAGAAACAGGCAGACTGTGAAGTAACCATTAGGAGCAAACGGTATGTATGGTTCCCAGAAATGTTTAAAGTTCAGAGATAATCAGTTATGTGATTAACTGCTATCTAGGGAAAATCAGTCTTGTTTATTTGAGCAGGGAATCCAAACCCTGGGAGGTAATCAGATGATTGAGAGCCATATTTACATAGCGTTATGTAAAAAGTACACAGTGGATTTAGATAATCAACAGATTGTGTTTCCAAATCTATACAGCTGCTCATGATTTTGTGCTTGCCACCTGTGTTATTTTGTTCATAGGTCAAATGGTCAGGAGAGGAAGCTGTTACAAAGACCTGCAAACAGAAGTAGATGCTTCTTTTTGCAACTCCAAGAATCAACCAACTACTGGAATTATGCCTTGCAAAATGCCAGCTTGTCCTCCCAGGTAATAAAAGAAATGGCCATTGGTTTGTTTTGTTCTGCCCATTTTACCGATGCAGTATTTGTATTTGTAAGTATTTGTTACACTCCTTTTGACTAAAGATCGAAATTTAGTTTTTCTGTTCATGAAATAGTGCAAATAATTTATATCTGATGTGCTGTTTGATGGTTTAGAGGTTGCCCAGGCCTAACATACTGATTAGTGTGCCACACCTCTACCTATGTAACTTTCATACCATCCGAAAATTCACATATGAAAACCAGGGCATTCATGGCCAAGCAATATCATTGAGTGGCCAAGATGGCAAAAATTATTAATGAGGAAGAACAGGCTGAAACATTTGGCTTTTTGCTTGAGTTTACTAGGAAAAACAGAATTCCAACCCTTCCTCTCCTTTACCTTCTGCTGACATAATGAAGTATATACAAATTTGGCACCAGGATTGTGGCGCAGCTGGCTGAGTGTCAGCTGCATTAAGATCACTCTGACCAAAAGGTCATGAGTTCAAAGCCAGCCCGGGTTGGAGTGGGTTTCCAACCAATTGTGTAGCCTGTTGTTGACCTTTGCATCTGTCAAGTAGAAAAATTAGGTACCACCTTAAAGTGTGGGGAGGTTAAATTAACTAATTTATGAGGCCATAAAAAAGACTCCAGCAAGCACTCCAGCAAAAAGCATGCGGGGAATGTGGAAGTACTTCATCAGTGTTGCAGATGGATGATGAAAGTAACAGCTCCCCTGGCGGCCAGAAAAAGTTAAATAGCCTCTGTCTATGTCTGTGTATGTTGTATGTCAAAATTGGCATTGAATGTTTGCCATATATGTCTACACTGTAATCCGCCCTGAGTCCCCTGCGGGGTGAGAAGGGTGGAATATAAAAGCTGTAAATAAATAAATAAATAAATACTTTAAATTCTGTTAGCAGCAATTGAAGTATACCAGGATCATGAAAAAAAAACTGAAAAGAGAAAATAAGGGGGAGATTTTTAAAAAAATGAAAAATAGGATGATAGAGCATTAATTGGAATTACTCCTGCAAATTCAGGACACTTAAAGGGCATGATTTATGTTAAAGATCAAGAAAACCCAAGGTGAAATTTACTGTTTACCTTAAACTCACCAAGTGGATTGAGACAAGCCATTCTTACTCATCTTCAACTCTCATTCTGCTCTACTAATAATATGTGGGTAAAAATCTTACCCTAACAGTTTGGGTTTCTGAAAATCTGCAGCTTACAGTAAATGTTTAAATAGTCTGCAGTGCTATGTAAAGACTGGATGTATTATGATTTTAGGAGGATACACAGAAATGAGTCAGGCTATTAATCCATATAGCACAAGATCCTAAACTGTTTTTTTTTTTCCTTTATAGTCAACCCTCAACTCTCACGGGTTTTACTTCCACAGATTTGATGATTTGAGAGTATGTAGCTGCCTGAGCCACTGGTCTCCAAGCCCGTACCCGATCCCACATCTCCTAAAATGACAGCATTGCAGCAAAAATCATTTAGTAATTAGCCAGGTCCTACATCAAGTCATTTAGGATTTTATACACTAAGGCAATGTAGATAGCCAGCACTTTGAACTGAATATGCAATTTCATTGAGACTACTGTTATTTAGTCTCATTCAGCCCAGCTACTCAGCACCAGTTCAGACCCCGTCTGTACTAACATATAATGCAGTGTAGAGGGCACATTAGCCTGGGGCATCCAAGTGATGGGAGAAATTCACCAAGAGTCTTCTGGAGGGGTGGATCAGCTAGTCTTTGTTGAGCAATATACTCTGCAAGGAGTTTTATTCTGTGATACTCGCCACAGAATAAAACTCCTTGCAGAGTATATTGCTCAACAAAGACTAGCTGATCCACCCCTCCAGAAGACTGTTGGTGAATTTCTCACCTCAAAAGTTGAGCTTTTTTTGATAATTTGAACCCAACCGCCTGACGAAGGCTCTTGTGAGTCGAAACCAGTTGCTGGTTGGAGTCAATTCATATGACTACTGGAGTCTACTCATATGTAATAAAGAACCATTTACTCACATGAAGACTTTGTTTTATACTTCAAGAGAAGAACCGGTTGTTTCTACTTAATGTGAATGTGGCAGTCCTGTTTTTTTGATATGTGTATTTGTAATATATACATTGAGTCAATTTAGTTATTTTCACATTACCACTATCAGTGGATTTTGGTCTCCACAGTTTTAGGGGAACCCATTTTTCTTTTTGGCATCCAAGTGATGCACCAGGCTCATGTGTTTTAACTCAGAATAACCTATTAAAAATACCTGCAAAATGTCTAGATCTTTCAGGAAGATCCTGACCTTTATAGGGATGGGGCCTGTGGGGCCTGCCTTCTGGGATCACCATCTGTGATCCCAGGAGGTGTCCCCACAGCTATCCCATAATCTCTAAGCTCAGACACCATCCTCTTCCTGCCTCTCGATTTGCCCCAAAAAGTAACAAAACTGCTTTCTTGTCAAGACATGGAGCTTCTCTTAGCTCTGTGACACAAAGCTTTGTAGAGGGGAGGGGGAATTTCCTCTCTAAACCTCCACTGCATCCTTTCTGAGTTCTATGGAGCTAAGAGAAGCCTTGTGCTTCAGTAAAAAGGCTGTTTTGTTGCTTTGGGGAATGAAACAGGGAGCAGGGAGAGAAGAGAGATAATGCGGCTCTGGCCCAGTGTACCTGTCCGAACGTATCTCCTTCTATGTCCCACCTCGGAGTTTAAGATCTTCTGGGGAGGCCCTGCTCTCAGCCCCGCCTCTATCACAAGTGAGGCTGGTGGGGACGAGGGACAGGGCCTTCTCAGTGGTGGCCCCTCGCCTGTGGAACTCACTTCCCGGGGAAATTAGGTCATCAACATCCCTCCTTTCCTTCAGAAGGAAGCTGAAAACATGGATATGGGACCAGGCCTTTGGGTAATCTGGCAGACTGACAAGGTAATGACGACCAGAATTTGGAAAGGACTATGATAATGCTGAATGGACTTACGGATTTTAGAACTTGGTGAACGTTGGCCACTAGATTGGCTTTTAGTTATTATTATATTAATTGAATGTTTTAACTTGTGGTTATTGTTGTTATGTATTTTATCTGTTGAATTATTGGCATCGAATTGTGCCGGTTGTAAGCCGCCCTGAGTCCCCCCTAGGGGGTTGAGAAGGGCAGGGTAGAAGTGCCTGAAATAAAAGCCCCTGCCCACCCATCCTGATAGTATATTGGAGTAATTGGGACAAGGGGATATATGGCCACTCCAACCAATAAGGTGCCCCCCACAAGGAATGGCCTAAAAGTGCATTCACATTTTGACCAGTTGGAGTACATTAGAAAAGGTGGGTGTATGACCACCCCCAACCAAAAAGGTAGGATTCCCCACCCCCAAAGTAATGGCATAAAATGCATTCACATTTTGACCTGTGTGGAAGAAGCCATAATTGTATTTTGTACAATCTCTAGATTGACTTTAAGAGTAGTTGTTTTGCAGAAGACATTCCATATAAACAGCAGAGAGAGAGAGAGATGATAGCATAGACAATAAAGAGATAAAGAAAAATGGCCAGTGGTTTCTTTACCCTTTTGACACTCAGATTTAGCATGATATGTTGATCTTGCAAACAGTGAGTGTAACTTGCAATTGGGATGCAATTCATCATATAAGGGGAAGGAATTGGGGGAATGAGAAATATGTCATATAATAATTATAAACACATTCATATCTGTAGTGTTCTTATCAAAACTAACAGCTATAATTTGGGCCAAAACTAACAAAATGAAGTTCAACAGTGACAAATGCAAGATACTCCACTTTGGCAGGAAAAACAAAATGCAAAGATATGGCAGCAAAAAAAAGCCAATGGGATTTTGGCCTGCATCAATAGGAGCATAGTGTCTAGATCTAGGGAAGTAATGCTACCCCTCTATTCTGTTTTGGTTAGACCACATCTGGAATATTGTGTCCAGTTCTGGGCACCACAATTCAAGAGAGATATTGACAAGCTGGAATGTGTCCAGAGGAGGGCGACTAAAATGATCAAGGGTCTGGAGAACAAGCCCTATGAGGAGCGGCTTAAGGAGCTGGGCATGTTTAGCCTGAAGAAGAGAAGGCTGAGAGGAGATATGATAGCCATGTATAAATATGTGAGAGGAAGCCACAGGGAGGAGGGAGCAAGCTGTTTTCTGCTTCCCTGGAGACTAGGACGCGGAACAATGGCTTCAAACTACAAGAGAGGAGATTCCATCTGAACATGAGGAAGAACTTCCTGACTGTGAGAGCCGTTCAGCAGTGGAACTCTCTGCCCCAGAGTGTGGTGGAGGCTCCTTCTTTGGAAGCTTTTAAACAGAGGCTGGATGGCCATCTGTCAGGGATGATTTAAATGCAATATTCCTGCTTCTTGGCAGGGGGTTGGACTGGATGGCCCATGAGGTCTCTTCCAACTCTTTGATTCTATGATTCTATGAGAAAAAGAGTAAAGATCCTAAAAGGAATTTGTATTTAAAAGTATTAGAGCTGCCCTTTGAGTATTGTGTTTTATTTCGGGGCATTGAGATGCACAGTCTAGCTTTGGGGACACTTCAGATTTCATTGATCCTGAATCATCATAGTGAAATCATCATAGTGAAATAGTTCTTTAGTCACAGCACACACTAAAAATGAAGAAGCTGTTATTTCACAGCTTCTTATGCATGTATAGTGTCTTACATCATTTATATGCCCTCTCTTAAGTTAAAAGAGACGTTGCAAGACCGTCTGAACCTTCCAGACATAATTTTGGTGTTCTACATGGAGTATTTTAGAATTCATGGCTGTAAGCCCTGAAGGGCTTGGCTGAAGTCCCAGTTTTCAGTACTTAAGCAAGCTCGGCTAGCTCATGAACTCTATAAATGTTAGGTTTACATGAGAGCAAACCTTAAACTGGTTATTAAGTTGCCAAGCATATCCAAATTTTTTCCAGCACAAAACATATTGTACGGTGTTCTTCCCATGGAGATAAATTGATTGTTGTTTT